CCAACATCTATGATCCCTTATGCAACATGTTTTGCTTGCCCTGTGTCAGGCAGGTGAAAATGGGCTAGCCCTCAGATAGGACGCTAAATGGAGGACCCATGTTTGATGAGAGACACGCCGAGCACGTTGAAGAACCCACCACACTTATCGATAAAAGAAGTGGTCCATCCCGGTGTGAGTCGATCAAATCGTACATTCACATGGCTGCACCTGGGACAATTATTGTCATAATAAATTCATCAGAGCTCCAGAAGACTACCGTTACAGACCCTTAATACGATTCGGCCAAGCCAATTGTAAGTTCCTCTTAATTCCGCCGCAGCTGACTGCCCACTTAAGGCCGCACTGGCTTAATTTTATGGATGATTTCCTCTGAAGATCCAAAAACTAAAGAGATAGGGCCAATAAAAAATCGCCAAAAATGATGCTATAACTGAACTACTGATATGCAAAACCGGTATTGCGAATGTGCGGTGCTACGCGCTCGCCGGCACCCGTGCACCGAGCGTCCGTAGCCTGGGTACCGTCCTCCGCCGGCTCCCTTCTGTCGATAGCTATCATGGACTACGAAGGATGGCACCCAGCCTTTAGCAGGCGAAAATCAATGCACGCGCGGATGTTATCCATTAACGTAAATCAGTGTGGCTTAATAACAACATTGCTTGGGTTAAAAAAACGAGAGAAACGTGTACATAATATGCTCATTCGTGGTATCGGAACCATTACAAGGCGGCACACAGACACGTCCCTGGTCCTTCCTTACCATCGTACGGGTAGGGGATGTTGTTGGTGGCGGTGTGACATCTCTCACCTCTCCTGCCCAGCGGCTTGCACGTCTGGAACGGAACAAATCCAACATCAAACTTATACTTTGGAAGGTTAAGGATTCAAAACTGGCAAACTGATTCGAGTTCACTTCTTCATTTACTTGCCTACCAATCAATTCTCTAACTAACTAACTAACTCACGCACTCACTCACTCACTCACTCACACACACGCACACACACACACACACACACACACACTCACACATACTCACACACACACACGCACACTCACACATACTCTCTCTCACACACACACACACACACGCACGCACGCACACACACACACACACACTGACCCAATCTCTCACTCACTTATTCATTTATATTTTTATTCATCACCCATTAATTCACTTTTCATCAAGTTCAATGCCTTCCGTGTCCATGTTTGTTTCCCTCTATGGCCAAACCCTATGACAAGTGTGTGTTAGTGAGAATGTGTAAGTACTACAGTTGGTACAAGTGTCACTTGATATAAAAAAGTAACAGGTTTAAACACACCAGAAGTTTCATTAGAGTCCCACATGAAAATTTAAGATGTACGTTAACTTTGTAGCCTGCTTGAAAAGCTTATCTCGTGTTGACGTTAAGCCGTGTACTCTGTAGGCACTAAGCACGCCGGTTCATCACAGGACGTGCTGACGATGTTAGCTTCCTTCCCAGGCTGATGCCGGCTTAGGTAGGCTCCTCTGTACTTAGTGACATCTTCCTGCTTGTCACAACCCGACACTTTAGGGAGCTGTGCCAGATTTCAGTACAAGGACGTAAACGATGTTATGTTTCCTTTGGGGACGTTTTAATGAAAGCAATCTAGATACACGCGAACTGCAATATCTGCAAGATGGTGGCGATACTACCGCGGATATTAACTGTTCCAGTTTGTGGTACAAGGACTTCAACAACGTCATGTTTCCTTTGTGGACTTTTTAATGAAAGCAATCTAGATACACGAAGTACAATACCTGCATGATTGTGGCAATACTACCGCGGATATTAACGTGGATAGTACGAAGGCATCAACAATGTCATGTTTCCTGTGGTGAGGATCTTACATGAAAGCAGTCTAGATATACGAACTGCAATACTTGCAAGGTTGTGGCAATACTGCCGCGGATATTAACACGGATAGTACAAAGGCATCATGTTTTCTTTGATGATCTTACATAAAAGCTAGATCTGTTCCTGATTTCGATTGTGGTACAAGGACATCGACAACGCCGTGTTCCCTTTGATGATGTTTTCATGAAAGAGCTATAGATTCGCGAACTGAAATATTTCATATTTCACCGAGTGTGACCATGGTTCTGGCAATGCCACCTCGTCCTATTTCTTTTGGCAATCTCATCGGCTTATACGATTGCTCTCAAACTTTTGAGAGATTCATCTTTCGTCTGACTGTAGGTTGAAATTTATTTTCTAAGGTAATGTTTTTTGCCGTGAATTTTCATCAGTAGAAATGCGACGAGGTATGATTTTATATGGGATTTTCTGACCCGCGGCATCATCGAGTACCTATGTGTAAGTACGTACCTTGAGGCTGAGGTAGGGGTTCCACCGGGCGCAGCACCCTCCCACTCCCGCCACAACACAGTCCAGGTCCGTCTCACAGCCCTGCAGAAGGAACACCCACCCGGGTGGGACATTGTCGTAGACGTAAGGAATGATTGACATTGTTTGTGGACATCGAACGTTCCTCTGAGAACAATATAACATGTAGGACCATCAGATATGCCACTCTCGTTGATAGAATGTCCAATTAAGCCAACAACACTATCGAAAAGTGGACATTTCATTAGTCAATCACTGTTTCCTCTAACCGATCTGTCTCTCATCTGACGATATATCTGGCTATATTCCATCACGTCGTGTCAGCAGAAGACACGTCACACAACAGTCTGTCCCCTCAGTCGTGCATTTTACTGCAGGTGTATCGTCTGTCATCATTCACTCTGGGACTCAGGACATCCGTCAAGAACAGATAATCTCTCTTCTGTTGACACGTTTAATTTGTTAAAGTCAGAATCAATTCCATCTCGGGCAGATTTGGAAACGCATCGAGAAACATGTCTGTTCCACCTGACTTTGGACGTGTTTCAAATCAAATCAAATCAACTTTATTGCTCACCAACTGTAACTGGTACAATGTATGGCAAGTGAGAAACAACAAAGGTAGATACATGAGCTATACTAAAATATAATTCTAACAGAGCTAATCCATAAAGATACTAAAGCTAATCTATTGTGTTTTCTTAATAAGGAGAGTATACTAGTAATTGCATTCTGTAATTCAGGAGATATGTTAGCTATTTAATAAATATGGTGTAGCTTTTGTAGTGATTCAGATATAAATTTTCCAACGTACACCGATATCTGAGTAGGGCATGTAAGGGGCATATTGATGATATCTGTTTTTTTTTTCAACGAACTTGGTGCCGTAGGATTAATTTTGAAATGGGTTTTGGTATTTGTCAAACATTATCTTTGCCTTACCAAAATACACAAACTACGCGTATGATAGCCTGGGTACTATGCGATTTTTTTCTGGTGAGCGAGTGCAGGTAGCCCCATTACAAATCGGATGGCAGCCAGGCTACTGAGTTGAAGTTAAGCTGTTAGAATATTGTCAAAGGAGCTCTGAGTATACCTTTTGTCTTAAGTCTATTCAATTTTCCAGCAGCTGCTAGCAGCTTAACTCACCTCAATGCTGATTTTGTGTCTATCAGTTTACTCGAAGGCGTCAGAAATTGACTTAAGTTTCCTTCTGGGTTCCTGACTCATGCCAGCACGTCTCCGTGTAACAGCTCATGACAGACAGTGTATAGAATAAAGTGGCTTCACGGCGATAACAAAAGTCAATCCGGGCAGAGCGAACCGATTTAGTTCTGAGCTTAATGTGGACTGTTCCGCGGGTCTAAAGCCGGTAGGACGCCCTGCATACCGGACGATTTTCTGGTCCATGTGAGCTTTCATACTTCATTTACTGATCGAATCAAGTGACGTATGTAAGATCTTTTTATAACATCTTTTTATAACTTTCTAAAACAGATAACTTAATCCTTCCGTGTTTTGCACCATTTATGAAATTTCCAAAAACCACATTTCTACTAGAATCACAAAGCTCACTTCAGAATATTTTTTGCTACGTCATGACTTCATTGGTTTCGCACGGACCATGGAAAGCAAACTCTGTACGAAAATATACGTACGCATACACACTGCCACTAAAAACAGGTCTCGCGTCTTCGTCTTTTTTACAGAAGTAAATATAAGAGGACTGTCAATCTTCTATAAGAGCACTGGTGGATGTTCTTTACTGCAGACGATTGAAATACATCTTCAAGTATGAAATCACTCACTAAGCACTCTAAAACCACATGTAAATGTTTTCTTTTGGCACAATTTAAATCTCTTCACATAATTTGTACGGGTGCTTACCAAACAGTACTACCTCCACGTCGCCGTCAGCGGAGTGTTTCTAGTTGCACTCATTTCAGCAACATTTAAGGACCGTGAAACAGGCTTAAATCCTAGTATATACGGTATCTTTAAGCAGATTCAGATATTATTTCCAATGACATAGCAGGTACACGAATAACACCCATATCACCTAAAATGTGCCATTGATCACAAGCATCCGTTAAAATTGAAGTATACACTTCATAATACATCATAAAATAGAATCCTAAAAGTCAGAGTAACATCAACTATTTGCACGGGTCGAACTCACCCTGGTCACTACAAAGGCCTCCCCGGGCAGCAGGACGACTGACAGGACCGTCACCAGGAACACCTCCGTGCCGATCATGCTGCTCTCACGTATCAACTCTCACAAACACTCCGCTCTCTTCTATATATCTATCTCAAACTAATCCTCACGTGCTTTATTTTCATTTAGATGAAGCTTTAATTTTTTTCTCGGAAACACGCCCTAAACGGAATTACCATATCCCGTGGCTCCTTCCCGAGCACGATAGCGGCTGACGTTACAAAACTCAAAAATATGATCATGTGACGTCACCTCATTGATAACTTATTTCACGCCCTTAAGCAGACGATTTCTTTAAGGACGATCTTATCAAGTTTATTAAAAGGTGTTGATACCGGAACCTGGGCGGGTGTTCGTGAAAGTACGCAAATCACTGAAGAAAAACACCCAAACTGGATCGATCCACATGAATACATTCAGACATAAAACCCGTAATATGTACATTTATATTCAATATGAATAAGATCCTGCCTCCTTTCATCATGTCTGTATTCACACATTTGTGGAGAAACTAAACTAATTGCTTTTGAAGAATTTAGAAAAAATGTAGTTATATCGTTCTCCAATAGCTCTGACATCATACAGAATAAAGCATTGGTAAACGCAATAAACAAGACCTCAGTAAAAATCCCAGTAGTCAGTTATAACCAGGCGAACAGATGGAGTTTACGACCACCCTTCAACACGGGTATTATCGAGATCGGTGTGTTCCTGAAAGGTAAAACACCCATCTTACCTGCCTTAAGGTAAAGCTCTCGTCTTACCTGCCTTAAGGTTCAGGCGGGGTTGGACGATGAGTCATGATCGTTCTTCACAACATTCCTGTGTGGCGCATCTGACATAAGCCCCGGCTACATACATCTTTAGATGTTTGCGACGGTATCTAAAGTATTGCACCTTTATTTCCTCAATTCAACGACATACGGCACGATCGTCGCGGAAAACCCTTCATCATGGGCGCCTGATGCGAAAAGAACATTTTTCATCCGACAGTAGATGTCACTAGTATCTCTTGGATTATCTGCATTCTTTACTGCTTCTTACGTGATACATGAAGCATACATGAAATACATGAAGCAACTGGACAAATTCTTTGAAGAGCGTTCACTACCCATTATCTGGGATTGGGATCTCGATAATGCGTTTCTCTGCATCTGTCACTAAAATGCTCTTCTCTGTGCTTGTCTAAAAATCTATTCAATATCTGTACTTATTTTGTATCGGGTAATGTTCCATATGGAAGTCTCGCCTTTGTAGACGTGTTCTTTTTGTGTGTATAATCTGGCGAATCTGCTTCAGCTAGCGATGGGCGTTTCTTTTCTCGTTACTTCGTTTTCTCAGCCTACGCCAGTGAAAACGTACGAAACGGAGTTCATTAAGCCGTTATCTCGGAGATAATCAGACACCTGGCAGAGGCTGGGGAACTTCCTGCAGGAAATGAAGTCTTCACGTCTCACACGTCAGGCTGCCGATGATCAAGCACGCCGTGACGTTATGGTATCGAGACGTCGGCGGGGCTCAAGATTCTTCGCGCGGGAGTCTTGACGTAACACCTGTAGCTAAGCAACATTTTGCGAGTTTTTAAAATTTATTTTGCATCACATGGAAAGTGGTGCACACGAGATTTGTAGCGAAATACCAAGACATTTAACTTTAAAGGCGTTGTCCTATCATCCTTGCTTACTTGCTGACTTACGTCGTACATCTTCCCCAGGTCTTGTCAGTTGGGAGCATAGTCTTCCCCATTTTTCTCGGTCCTGAAAGACCCCCTCCTCCTCAAGTCTGTCTAGTCTGCCCAGTCTGTTTGTTGAACATTTCTTGCATGTAATCCTTCACTTTTTTCCTGGGTCTGTCTATTGGGCACCCTTTGGTACATGGTCTGTATTTGCGCCAAAGGGCAGGCACCGAGTATCCTATATAGCTTAAGTCGACAATATTGCAGAGATATTTCACCAGAGTAGATGTTCAATCAATCAATTCTGATGCCCACAATATAAAAAAAAGAAGACTTACACATGACGTTACACTGTTACCATTGATGAAATGCTACATGAGATGACAAACATTGTTACAGTTAGTTTGTGAATATCTAAGCCTTCTTCAGAAGTCGACATTTCACTCTTCCCTATAAACCAGCTGTGCATCCTATGGGTGTTGAATTCGAGCAATGCACAAATGAAGACACTGTTTAATCTCATTTTGAATGAGTGAATCTTTGTAGCTTACAGTTTTGCTCTATGATGATCGTTTGACATTTGTGAGACTACACAACTAAAGCCCCCGGGATTTCCTGTAACATTCCGCCGTCGGCGATCGTCCTGCCAAACTGCCTCACGTGTCCCCGCCCAGGCAAGTACTGATGCCCGCTGCAAACTATCATCCTCATCCGTCAGCTTAAATTCTATCTACGACTTAACCAGTTTCTAACTTGAGAACATCGTTTTATTCTACATTGCGTCGTTTGATTTTGAAAATGGGTGTAAAGGGTTCTTCCCCGGGATTCGAACCCAGAACCTTTAGATTTTAAGTCTACAACCGTAACCAGAAGATCCTCTATCAGAATCTCTGATAAAGATGTCTCTTTCTATGTGGTACTTGGTCCTAAATAATTTTGAACCGGAAAAGGTATAAAAGTACATGTATGATAGAGAACTACTGAAGTAGCTGTTTGGCTACAAATTCCTTATTGTTTATTGGAATAGGCAACGAGGAGAACAGTATGTCAGTAAGAGAATAAGGTTTTAGACAACTGGTTACCTGAGTAGAAAAACTAGCAACATGATAACGATAGGTGCTACTATAGCACAACTACAGTTGTCAAAACGGTGTTGAGCCTGTCACGTTTTATTTTCATTCCTCCCAGCTTTGAATTCCACCAAGAAGTTCATCTGTCATGTTCTTTTACATGCGTGGAAATCCGCAGTTGTCTGATCTATAACTCATACGGCAAAGCAAATTAATTTAGCTGGCGTGGGTGATACTGCAAGTCTGATGGAGCCGAGAAGGATCAAACTCACGGTCCAATTTAGAGGGACGTGCCACGCTGCATCTTAAGCAGGCACAGTTCAAGAATATAGTTAGCGTCTTTCACCATATAGAGAAAGTGTGAGAATATAGAGAATCTCTTTCTGGTAAATTAATGGGATAGCAGGGGTGTTATTAGCCTCCTTCACAGACTTGTTAGGCGGCGGCATTATTTTTTCGGTGAGCGAAGCGAGTTATGCCGCGAAGGGACGATTTTGTCGCCGAGGGAGTTTTTGCCATGGAGAGAGCGCGAAACCTTCTCTCCACGGCAAAAACTCCCTCGGTAGCAAAATCGTACCTCCGCGGCTTATTACTCGCGTCGCTCACAGAAAAAAATAACGCCGACGCCTAACAAGACTGCGAAGGAGGCTAGGGTGTTATCCTATGGTCTCCTATTAATTCACCATATAGACTGTTTAGAGTGTAACTCTTGGTGGAATAATGGGATAGAATTTTCTTCCTATAACTATATCATGTAAGAGTAGTTAGCAGGTTTTTTTTAAAGAAAATAACTAAATAAATGGAATAAGTAACCAAAGATCTGTGAGGAAGTTCTTCTGGAACACCACTCAGTGGCACTCAGTGGCTCGCTCAGACTTCTTGGTACATCTGCCACATCAGTATATTGTGGACCAGCAGATGCAACAACTACATCAACAACAATCATGTGTCTTATAAGCCCATATGGTCTGGGTGACAATGACGCAAGACACAATAATAAAATTCATTCATTCATTCATTTACTACAATGACCATGACCTTCCATGCATTGCAGCGTGTCCATTATTGCGACAGATACCGGGGGATTCAATTGGTCAGCCAGTTTATCTTTCTATAAAACTTTCAAACGTTGTAGATTTCCGCGTTAAGCTGTTCTATAGATCTACTACACATGATAAATGTCACTTCATGGACAGCCTGTCCCTTCTTAACCATAGGTTTTCTAATGTTAGGAATGTTAGGAACAACTACAGCATACTGTATGTGATGATAACGATGAACCTGCAAATTGACAGATAAAACCGAAGTTTCTGAGGTTTTCTACAGCACGTTTACACAAGTTCTAATACCCGGTTGATTTTTCTCACTCGTCTGTAATATACGTTAATATATAATGTTTTTGCTTTGATTTCCACATGTTTTATCTAACTTCAAAACTACCTTAACGTGCTGTCTGATTAAAGTTAACCTTCTAGGATCTAAACTTTGTTAATTCACGACATCGTTCTATTACATTATCTTACGAGGCTAAGATTTAAGATTTAACCTTTAGCTGACTCATAGTAAGACCTAACCTTTTGTTTTGCCGTTCCCCGTCTGTATGAGTGACGGGTGCGTCAGGCTGAGAAGTTCGTCGTCTATCTAGTTCGTAATGGCGGAGGTTGGGCCACAGACATTTGTCGGAGAGAAAAGGCTAAACCCATTTCCCTTTACCACGGGTACGTCAAACCAGAAGAGCCCGATCCTGCCTCCATTAACATGGATTAATATCGGTTGACCCCCGGGGGCTGTTTGTTTTCCGACGATGTCGATGTAAGAGCTTTCTCATTTAAGTCAGTAAAGATGTACTTATAATCCCTTGGATCTTTCCAGGAACCGCCTATCCTTTGTTGCTAGCCTACAGGGACAAAACATTGCGTCAATGTGGTGGATGCATACATATAAAGACTTCTTCAGTTGGTAGGAATCCAACATTGATAAGATTTTGAAATACAATGGTGTCTGTTCGAGACTTCCTTCTGATGACAGCTTGTCTGATGTTCCACCATGACCGGGTGGCCGACGCTATGGTAGTGACAGGGGTGAGTCTGATTTCGCTAAGTTAGCAACTTAACTGTTTAATGGTCCTGATGCACCCAACTGTAGAGCAAGTAGTGTTTGAAGTTGCTGCTGGAAGGGCTCTGATGCATCTAGCGATTAACATGTCGTAAGTGTAGTTAAGTATCTACACAGGTCAGTACAGTTTTTAGAATGTGCGGGTTATATATCAGCTTGGAGTCAAACTCTGGTTAACATTGGCTGGATATTTTCATGCCAATATTCGTCATACAGTCTGCGTCGTTTCAAGTACTAGTTGCAACTGGCGGGGGACTCTAATAAATTGAGTAATGAAGATGATGAAAGTGTTAAGTATGTATAAGCATGTTATTTTAATCAACAGTTTTTTTTCTACTGCTATAAAGTACTTGCAACATCTGTTGCCGTTGAGCAAGTGGTCCACAGTCAGTATGTACCGGATTTCTTAACCTGTGAACTGCTGAACTGATCTGGTGAGTTGCACTAGTAGCTCTCCTCGACGGGTGAAGCAACAACTGATGTGCAAACATGTACATCAAACCATGCTCATGGTGTGGAAAATGACATGGAAAATATCCAGTTGTTAACCATTTTTCGATTCTCAATACATAGTCTTCAGTCTCAATACATAGTCTTCATACCCGCACATTGCGAAAACTGCGAACCCGAAGTATTGGCCCAAGTAACATCATCTTCATCTGAATCGGAATTTGTTCATCTGCTGCAGCTGCCTATGTTTTTAGTATAATAAATGGATGTGTGCTGCTGTATCCAATAACTTGCCGATTACGCGGTTTTCTCATTAATCTTTATGGATACTGCCATTTGTGAGAATGTGAATTGAAATGTGACGGAAATGTTGGTAGATGGTAAGCTATAAGCTGAAGACGGAATCAGCCAAGGTTTTTGTTAACCACACTGAGCGAGCTGATAAGTAGAGGGACATCTAGTGCTTGTAAAATATTTTTACGTTCAAGTCCAAACAAAAAAAAATTCCGGACCATGCCCAGTTCTCTTTTTGTTCTAAACCACCTGAAATCTCCAATTGTCAAAAATTTGCGCTGTAAAATGAAGAAAACATTGCCATTTGGGCATCGTCAAGTGTTGGCCTCCGTACATTATGTGGCCACAGTTTTGCCCAGACGTCGACATGTCCCACAAACAACATATCTCGCTTCTAGACCCTGGCAATGCAGTGCTCGCGATCGCTACAAAGTTTTGTGGTAAAGATGCCCTAGTTTCCATTGGGAAATGTTAATTGAGAGGTCCCTTCCGTACGTGTATTTTGTATATGCCCTGGGTTTAGGTCTGGACTTGTAAGAACCTAAACCTCTGGACTTGAACCCGGACCTGGACGTGAACGTGGGTTTAGGTACACAGCACTGGGGAGATCTGCGCACATACTACCGCGTAACTAGGTAGCTTCTCGCCGGGGTTCTACCCTCATTTGTATCTGTACAACCTGCCTATCTCTACCAGAAGTGATGACTCGTTAAATTGCATGGAAATCTACTGACCATGACAAGTTCTGGGTCACAGCATTATTTGTAACAATTATCTTCCTCGCATGCAGTTTCATTTCGGGTTAACAACGTTCAATTTTGTGATTCATGTTGTTTTTGTGTTTTCCTCTGCCACTTGTAAAAGCCCAAATAAAACCGTCCCAAATGCTCACAGCGAAATGATTTCTTCGTTACTTTCTGTAGTCCAAATTATAGAATGTCGGGAGTCATGCAAACATTTAAGAGAAAAGTTAAATAGCAACATTAAAAGTGTATTGCTGCTGCATATGTAAGTTTCCATTCAAAACACTCCCTGGCGTAACACACCAGCTTCACATGCATCGGCGGCAGTTGGTCAAGTGCCACACCTAGCTTACACACTTCCAAATATTAGTATAGCGTAGATGCCAATAATTTTCAAAGTGCACTATTTCTATGGAAAACAGGGGGTCTGTGAACTGTTAATAACTAATATGTGTAAGCTTTTTATTATTTTGTTGGTGATGGTATTTGGTACTTGCTGTTTTCATCAGTTTGTACATCATGATGTGTATATTGGAATGTAAGGCATGATAAAACGTACAGGTAGATGTAATATCTAACGTGCCCTGTTTCCGCAGGTATGTGCCGGTGATACCGAGTGTATAGAGTCCCGTGGAAGTGGCTTCTGCTGCGCGCCGTTTAACCCTAACGCCGCCATGAGGGTGTGTAAGCCGGCCGGGCAGGCGGGAGAGTTGTGTCACGTGGCCTCCAACGTCATGCCCTACCCCTGGGACCAAGGCGCCCGCAAGTTCTGGCGCTGCGCATGCGCAGAGGGGACGAGCTGCGTGCCGAACCACCCTGGGGCGAAACTCGGCACATGCGCATAGCCGCGCTGCTGCCCTCACCCCTCGATTGACGGAAGGTCCGGACTCATCAGCGATCTTGACGACTGAACGTTCTCAGCAAAGAAACCAACTCAGCACGTGTACATGAGACGTGTAGGACAGTAACCAAAGACATAACGGACTCAAGAGTTGCAGGCAATTCTAGATTTCTATCTGCGCTGCTGTTAGGAAAGAAATGTTATCCCCTGTCCGATGATACAGAGTTGATGGACAGTAGGAAAATCAGCAAATCACATGAAGAAGTAGCATATAATATTTATATAGCAACGGAAAAGTGCCTTTTCTTCTCAAGTTTTTGAGGTTAATTTGACAGGCTGTTGGATACTTTTATCCTCCAAGCTTGCAATAGACGCAGGATAAATGACTGACACGTGACCGTACAATGGTGGCCATTAAGGGGAAATGTCACCATGTTTACAGTAAAATACAATGACACAAGATGAGGTGGTTAATAAAGATTTATAAATATCAGTACACGTTTCGTTCTTTATTATTTAGTCACAAAGTGTTAGAAATAAAATAGACATAAAATGGCAATCAGAAACTGTAGTTCAGCCAATAACCGAGCTAATACTTGTTTGTCAAAATATTATTGCTTTTGTGCGTTTTTCTTTTGCATTTCTTAATTGTGACGGACGTAGGCTGGACCGTCGAAAGAACGGCGTGCTTGTTCAAAGTTGTCTAAGTGTTAGACACCAGTGGTGACCGTTAGCCAACGCCCTCTGTCGAAATCAAGGAGAACGGCAGTGCACATCACGCCCTGCGAATGTTCATGCGTTTGAACAGTTAATTTGAAAATCACGGCACATGACGTTGCGTGTTGTCAAACAGAGGCTTTATAGTCTGCATTCATTTAGGTGGAATGTCGAGTATTTAGTAAACATTGAATGAACTCATGCAGAGACAAATCTTAAAGGAATAAAGGGAGAAAAGCTCACCACTTCACTCCCTTGAGACGAAGTAAGAAATTGAAGTATATGAAGGCCAATGATAAATAACAAATTAGTCTTTTCTGACATTTACCTTAAGGTCGCCCGGCTGGTTGTTCAATCCCGACTGACTTAGTGTGTAAAGCACATCATGGCATTTACAAATCCCGACCAGTATTTATATCCGTGTTCATTCAAGTAGTGGAGCTTAGAATTAAATCCTACAGGTATGGCAATGAGGAACGACAGGACGGGTTACTGAGAATTCTGAAAACCAAATAACAACTGGCAAACAAACTGTTAATACTGTCTGACAAGTAACACTACTCGTACACTGCGTATCTATGCTGTGGGTATGTAAACTTATTTAACCTAATGTCCAGACAAGAATGATGCAAGTCACTTTTCAATATCCATACGTCCTTTATTTCCAAGATTTAGAAACTGACATTTTTGCGTTTGGAAGAACGTCTGGTGTGAAAGTCTTCCGTTTGTACGGTACAGTCAGAGTCCGTGGCCAGCACGGTACCGTGACATTATCGGGATATGGCTTGTACCAGACACTCCGTATACAGAGGTGCACATGTGTGTCGCTCCGAAGTTTAACTCTGTTGTTGTACTGACAGCCCCAAAAGTTAAGACTCAGCCGATTGTGTACAAAAATCACTGTGAGTCGTCCTAATATTTTAGTATAAGACAGACTTCGATGCCGCCTCAGCTCAATAATGTACAATTTGTTTTCATTTACGGCAAATGTAACACATCAGTTCAGCTGTCATCGATATTGAGAAATTATTCCTACATAGACATTCAGCCATGTTAGGTACCCGAACAGCGGGTTAGAAGTGATTCTAACATGGCGGCCATGACGTCACTCACAGGCTCCAACCATAGACCCGGGGGATGATGGGACACACGTCATGTCTGGGGAGGAGGTAAATGGACATGTATTACAGCAGAGTCACAGTTAGTTGCATATCTTGCAGCTGCATGTATGTTTTACATCAACAGACCTACAAGGTCTTATATTCACTCTCTGCCTCTTTTCTTGACAGAAAATGTTATCAAAATTAGAACTTGAAAATAACATTTTTCATAACGTGTAGTCTTAATAAGAAAGGGAAAGTTCCAACATGTGGAAGGTTGATGTACTGTAAGATCTAATAATAAAGTACACATTACAGCAAGGACGGCCTTGATTACAGGGACTGAAGTACAACTGTCACCCACCGTCTCCACACGGGCATCTCCAGAACCTTCGGCGCCCTGAGAACGGGAACGGCAGCTGGCTGGCGGCCACGTGACACAGATCCCCCTCGTTCCCAAGCTCCTTACACACGTTGGTGGAGGCGCTGGGGTTCCACCTCGCACAGCAGCCGCCATGTCCCGAGGTCTGACAGTCGCTGTCAGAGTCACAGGCCTGAGGAGCAAAGCAACAACAAAGATCTGTGAAGAATTGCATTAGTTTGGTGAAAGATTGAATAGCAAATTTCTTCAGCTAGTATTCACAACCACTTGTTTAAGAGCCAAGTCGGGCGTTTGGACGACCACCTGTTGTCTCCATCAGGTCAATAAATTATGACTGGTTCACCGTGCACTGAATTATAACTGTGCACTGTTTATAACAGTGAACACTTCAGTGCTGCAGCCGCAGAGTGAACCAGCAGTTATGTCACAGTAAACCAGTCAACTTGCCCTAATGAAGATGGCGAAAGGTCATCGAAACCATGATCTGCTCTTGTATAACAACTTATTTTGAATATAGAACTGTTAAAAAAAGATCTGCATGATTCTTTGAATATGAATTTGTTAACCAGGATCGCCGTACCCTTTTTTGGCTCAGTGCAAGGCCAACAGGCTACTTTAGAAAACCCCCATCGATTCCGATGGGAAGGCTGCCATTCCCGTGTGACTGAATCCCATAATGGGAGGAAAGACTTTCGGATTCTTTTTGCAAGTACCGCGATGTACTGTACCTTTCTTACGCGCTGTAGTTACTAAGAGGTACGATGTGTGACTAGTATTCATTGAACATACAAAAAGACGTTTTTATGTTTTCTGATTAGCTTGCAGGTACAGTAAAAGCTAAATAGACTTCTTCAAACACGTTTTGCAGGGCACGTCACATACCCGGTCACTCCTGCTGATAGGAAAGTGAAACTAATACATAAACGAAGCACTACATTCATCTTTGCCTGATTCGTATGCAGCATATCCTTCCATGGCCTTTGGTAAACAAATCGAATCTGCAGGGAGCAATATCTCGCTAGCACGGCATGGCATGAACCGTCCGGAAAGGGGAAGGAAGGGAATCTAATAGCTGTCTGAGTGACTTTCGAAAGGGAAAAAAGTAGACTGAGTACACATTTAACAGCAAGTGAAGACTGTAAGTCATCAAACTTCAAGAAACTACTGGGACTTCACGAGGTAGACCTTTCAAACACGCAAACGATACATACGTACACATCCCCGAAGTACAAGACTTGAGAACTTCAAAGTCCTCCATAGTACTAGTACAGACTGTTTAGCAGGTCATATGCAGAAGTGAAAACAGCATCTGAGTGAAACTATATTAGTCATCTGGCGTTGATGTGAGCACCAGGTCTCAAGTCTACTCACCCCTGTCACAACAAACTGACCAGATGATCTCTCAGCCAACAGGAAAGTAAGGAAAAGTGCCCGGACTATCATCGTTCTCGGGTTCGGGACCGACTCTGAGTCTGTCCGTAGGTTCCTTCTAGTCGGTGCGGTAGCGATGCTCGCTGAGGTCCGTCCCTCCGCACTGCACGTCTGTGTGGGTACCGTGTGAGTGAGGGGTGTCACAGCAGGAAAAGCGTCATGACAAAGGCATACAGACGTCAGAAGGATGAATCACTTGACACCACAGACTCAACAAACCTTGTGTCCAGCCAACTTCCTGGAAGAATCTCCTGATCCTGTTATACCTTTGCCAGTGAATCGAAACCGACTTACAAGTGGGCATCTCGCCAATCTGACTTCCATACAAGATTAGACTGAATAGACACCGCCCTAGAGATCCACCCTTTTATTGGAGATTCACAGATAAGAATAAGGAATGGCCTTGCCTTATTCGAGAAAAAAACACATTCTCTAAAGTTGCAAGGTCATATTTCCGGTAATACACTTGGAATGCAGTAACGCATACCGATCCATCATTACAAACTAAAGATGCAAAACATCGACAGTATGCTAGTGATAGAATGAAGTACTAGTATAAGACCATCAAGAGACCAAAACTGTTCGTGATCCTGGGTACCTCAGGCAGGGGCGACATTACCTGGGATTACATACCTAAAGGGTACGACCTGTCCCGGGAAGATGTGGCACCTTCCGTCTTAAGGTTGTTCGGATTAACCTTTACTACACCTGGTGTCAGGACCTCCGCATCAAAGGGTCAAACGTCCCACGAGCACCTTTTCTGTGTGCCTGTGTCCATTCAGACGCTGAGTCCAGGTTATCCTCGGATTAAACTACTCTTGTAGCAGCTTCCTGCTTAAGATCGCATGTGGAAATACTACTTAACACGTGGATCAAACCGGTCAGTGCTCGTCACAGATACGGTGACACACAGGCAGTCTGGTGGAATGGCCCCGTGTGTGCTATCTGTCTGCACCAAATCTTAACTTGAAACGTTCTGAAATAGTGTTGACATACTTAAAACAAATGGATGGACAAAACTACATACCAGTGGCAAACTTAATTTATTTCCTTTATTCTACTACTTGGTGTTTGTTCTTTCTGTATCAGTCCATATGGATACATTACAGCAGGTGCGCAAAAGAAGAGTGATGGATGTCATTCGAAACGCCCAGAAGTTCTTTCCGTACCTTATCCAGTATAGTAGAGTTTGAGTCTATCTATGGGTATAGTTTACCTGGATATCTAACCTTCATTAACGTAGCCGGTGTGCAACTTACAGAGATGTTGCCTATCTTTTGGAGCCAAGCATACAGATTTGCATAGACATTTTGATGATGACTTAGACGCAATAGAATATTACTAGTACATTGCCCAATCTTGATAATTCAATATTTGTGATGAAAACATTAGATTGAGTGTCCAACAAGTCCTTGAAACCCCTTGTGACCCTTAGATGGCAATGTTTGATGGAAATCAAATTTTCCAGCAGCAATAAGAAGATGAACGATGAAAACAGAGAAAATGATTTTTAAACTAGAAAAGTAACATTTGCAAAGCAAATGCATAATGTTTACCTACGCATATGGTCTATATGTTAATTCTTACTCAAATACATTCACAGTCTAAATCCCTCCTACTATAGAATTACAACATTATGTAACCCAACACCAGTTACCATGGTGAGAGACAGTCTGGTTCAGTCAGGTCATAGGTCACTGTTTGGATAAAAAAAGAAGGGGAAACGTAGCAAAAACAATATGTTTTTCTTCGGTAAACATGAAAATAAGAAGATGTGATAAAAACAACATATAACTCAGCTATAATTCACGGAGACCACAATAAGCTTCATGACAGGCAAGGTGATACAGAGAAACGGTTAAATCCACTCACTCCAGTCAGTACGACTGTCGCCAGGCAGCCCGGCCGGTAGATGTGAAGGCACGCGAGGAGGATGTGCAGCAGACACAGGGGAGGCCTCATGGTTCTCACACCGTCTTCCTGGGGGGTACGCACGTCTCAAGGAGTCTTTAACTCGTCTTCTTATACCCCCAGATCCTGCCCTGATGCGTCATGGATAGGCCAGGAAGGACACCCATGTCGTCACCGCCGGCTCCTGATGCTTTGTTAGTGCAGATATGTGTTTAAACGCCTCAGTGAACTCATAGAGACCAGAGCTTCCAGTAATCGGATGTAACATACACGTGTGTGACATGATGACATACGTGATAATATACAGCTATGTTCACGTTATTTCTTTCTTCCGTCTGTCTTCGAAAGACTTATTTTTCATGCTAAATATAAACACTCAAAGTGTTCAAGCTTCCTGTACACTAGCTTCATACAATGCCGCTGGCCAGTTGAGTACGTCACAGCTATCCGTAGATCTGTCTAATTTTTTTTTAAGTTTAGAGAAGCGGCATCTGCTAATCATCAGTGAAGGTTTGTACTGACGTAGACATACATACACCCCTGTTGTCTGTCTTTCGTACATCTCAAACAGCAAAGTCGTGGCAATCTTTGCAATAATTGAGGATGTTCCAAAGCAATGATGGCATCAACACCCAGCATCAAAGTCGATACTAAACCATCCAAACTACATAGCGTTTCAAGGTAGATGTATATCAAATATATATATACCATTGTTCGCTTTCTTTTCATGCATTCTTAATTTACCTTATGAACTTGTGGCAATAGTAAGTAGGACTATAATTCTTGTAAGACGCTCGTACCGTTAAAGTAGCCTTCACAAAAATGACATCTAATCTTCAAACTACATTTCCAATGGCTGTCCCAAAGGTCTTAAAGAGAGTTGATTTTCGGCCAAATTTACGCCAGGTGTACCCCCCCCCCCCGTCAGGTAAGTTGTTACCAGTACTTCTCAGAAACCGGCAGAGTGAAAATCAAACCTGGTGAAAGTTTCCAGGAACCCTCACGGACTCTGAGATTTAGGAGTCAAAGTCCGTCAACGTTCTCCAGAAATCCGCCCTTAAAGACGCTGGAGCTCCACATCATGTTTAACGTCAACTCCTTAAGTACGCCAAAGGCTAAACTTCAGATGCACCTCACGGTGAGTAAAATACCAAAAGGAAATCTGTAATCCCGCTGACTTAGTGCTCCTTGTAGGTAAGACGGTAGGCACGACCTGGCAACAGGTACTTACTGGTCCGATACAAGCCGCCTCGTGACGTGGTACTGTAGGCATGACCTTCTGGAACGTTAACGCTCAAAATCTCAAAAATGTGGAGGCTTGTGTACGGTAGATGATATCTCTATTACTATCGGACAGGTAGTGTTTTTTCTATTATTGATAGCCTATTTTAGTTGAATATGCAACGCTGCATTTACTACCATTGGTAAAAAAACAATACTGATATATCACTGTCATGTACCTTCATTTCACTTCAAAATGTTGTTCAGGTTTTTTATTGAGAAAGCATTATGAAATACGTTGTGCTAGATTGAAATGATCGTCCACGATGATGGTAAATAATGTTTGATCCATCCTTCATCATCATCATCCGCCGGCAGCAACACAGGCGACTGCAAGATCCCTCCACTGTTCCTTGTCGCGAGCAAGGCTGGCTATCTGCTTTTCCGACAGTTGGTTATAGTCGTCTCCCAGCAGTTGTTGGACATACCAGTAACATTACTGGAAGTAGGAGGTAGGTTGTCGTCCTCCTCTGCACCTACCGTGAGAGGGCAACCGGTTCTTGAGTGATCCTCTTTTGAATATTTTCAAACAGATACCCCTGCAGTTTCAGGTCAAGCCGCTAGGAGGCACAAGCTCACTTCACTTCTTCCCCCAGTACAAGAGCTACCTACCATCCAAACTTCTTAACCCTAGCATGCCTAGATCATGACATATCAAAACCGTAAATTTCGCTGCAGTACCATAACAAGCCGCTAGGAGTCCAAAATCTAATCATTTTGAGGTCTCATCAAGACCTACTCACCTACCAAGTATCAGAATAATCCATTTAAGATTTCTCAAGTTATCGTGTCCACAGACGGACACACACACACACGCGCGCGCGCACACACACACACACACATACACGAACGCCTCTCTGAAAACATAACCATCTTGGAGAAGGTAATAATATGATGTGAGGCAAGACATTAACCTGGTCACTGACTCCCCCTGTCGAGTTTATTTTGAGCTCCAGTAGTGTGAAGTGAAGGAATGTAGAATACTGATACTTTTGAACGGATACGTTCGTACATTTGCTCCAATTGTTACATTTCATTTTATTCGTGAGTGCAAAACAAGAAATAAACAGCAAACAACCTTCACCTTAAGCTTATACAAGTACCTTTGATGATCAGATAAAATGTAAACATGTAGTCGTAATAAATCCACAGACCTTTTCTCTGTCTGGCCACTTTCCTGTATGTGCATTACCATCAAACATCGTTAAGCTTCTCCTTTCACATTTGACCCATTTCCAGCTTGTTTCAGGAATTACAGGTTGATCCGTGTTCAGCCTTCAAAGTACATCACCTTTGAGAACAGAAGTTCCTTATCCCACTTTGTGCCTAAGGTCAGGGGGGATCTCCATGTAAGACATTATGTCCGAAGATTAAGAAGAGACAGTGGAGTTTTGTAACGCTTTAAGACGTAAAACTTAAGAAAAATCCCTGGTTGATCATCTCTAAGGCATATAGTCGTCATAAATCCATAGACTTTCCCGTATCTTTATAAGAACACTACAGACTTATGCAAAGAATTGGGCCACTTTAGTCGTTACACGTGCGTGCATAAGGCATATATAAGAACTGGAAATTGAGAAAGGCCGTCGCTGCCAGACCAGCCAACATTGTGTCCTGTTTGTAAAAATGATGTTGAAGATTTTGCAATGTCTTTATCTAGTTAGAAAATGATTCCTGTCGTCCGTTATGACAGATTTCACCAGTGAGACCGTTAATCATCAATAACTAAGAATATTGTTAGACCACAAACAAACGTTACGCCAAAAACAGTTACTCCAGCAAATGGATATGATTTTGGAAACGGCCAGACGTGACATTCCAGGTAGCATCCACTACCCTTCGTCAGTGACACTAAGAGACTGCAGGAGAAAGGCAGGTTTATAAGCACGAACTATTGATTGATATGCAAATTTGTGAAGACAGGGAGGGAGGGCTATGGGTAGAACTCTCAGGCACTTGACTCTCGGCGCTCTCAGCCCCAAGGATAGACAACACTACAGCTCCTGTTCTGAAACAACAGGAGCTTTTGACTATTTTGCATCCTTCTTGTCTTGACTTGTCTAACTTTTGTTTCCTTTTGGACTTCAAAAAATTGTATTCAAAAATTTGCCAATCAAACAATAGTTCGTGCTTATAAACCTGCCATTCTCCTGCAATCTCTAGTGTCGACACTGACGAAACGTAGTGGATGCTACCTGAAATTAAACGTCTGACCGTTTCGAAAATCACACCCAGTTGCTTGAGTAACCATTTTTTGGCGTATCTTATTTCCTGAATGTCTAACCGTTTGAGTGGGTTCATATGTGCATTAAATTTTATCCACTATCCTGTAAACCCGCTGTGTAAAATCGTTCAGTCACATATGACCTCTTAACCAAGGGCAAATTTAAGGTCTCTATAGCAGTGGTTTACTCAATCCAAAGCAGAGAATCTTGGAAATGGTCTTTTCTCGTCTTCCGCGTTTCACTAGGTCTCACGTCACGACTTCTCCATAGTAACTACGGCGCACGCGCGGACGCAAGCTGTTTCCAAGAAAGAAGCCAAACTCAGAAATGTTAGATCCAATTTGTGAAATGGCCATATATGGTCATCGGGATTGGAACACAAAAACGTTCATCTGTCCCGTAAATTGTAACATTGCGTGGGCGAAGGGGGGTAGTGACAATTAGATAACTTCATGCCTCTCATAACGCTTACTTGCTGTAATAAGAACACAAATGTCTTGGCTTCTTATATAACTCTTTCAAGAAGGTATAAGTCTTTTAAATATGTTAAAACAAAACTATAAGACGCTGGCACTCGTAGAACGCTACGATTCGCTCAGGAAGTGTTCTTTTGCACTTTATGAAATGTTTAACTGCAATCATCCCTCCAACATGCCCGTGTAGTTTCCTAATTCATATCAGTTGACTTGACACTTGTTACACACATCATGATTTGTATACAGTAGTGATAAGACGTGATTGGTGCGTTTTACTCTATAGTAAATTTCATTAAATTTTCATCGAGCAAATTGCCTGTATCCACCCTCCCCTCCACATCAGAAGTATCGCCATATTTTTTTACACGTTTTAAGAACTCCGCCGATTTCATGACGTCAGAATTAGCCATTAAGCTAGATTAAAATTAAGTCCGAGGATTTCTCCAGTAAAGGTATCGCCGCCCCTCCCTCGCCTAATAGCCGCTCGGTAATTTGTCGCCTGCGGCAACTCCCTTGTTTATTACACGGCTCGGTATCCCGTCTGAGGCCCGTCGTGATAGAAAGAGTAAGCTCAAAGTCTGGCTCGAACCTTGGCGGATGCGAGAAAAAACTCTTTCAAAGTCGCCTGTAATCTTGGCGCTCGCCCCCTGAAGGCGCCGAGCTGTATATAAACCCGGCAGGCGCCGCAGAACGTTCAGCACTGAGGACGGGACGACTTGCAGAGAGGAACAACTCGCGCTCCGCACCGCTACAGACATTATGGACATGCTGCCGAAGCTACTACTCGCCGCCGCGTGCCTTCTTGCCTCCGCCCGGTTCTGCCACGGCCTGGTCTTAACGGGGGTAAGCACGACCTCTACTGCAGTCAATGTTTTTTTTATTTGTCTATAAGTATAACAATACGTTGTGATTTGAACGAAAAACTGACATTGAATCAGGACTTTTGCTGCACCGTCACAAAGTTAAAGTGATGGTTCTACCTAGGTGTGATTACAGTAATGATCTCCTTCTACTAAATAACTATCTGTGAGCAAAATGAAATTTGATTTGTGGCCATTGATTTTATCATGGGAATATGAGGCACGATGTTTAAATATAACCAAAAAAGACTACACAAAAAACACACAAAACGTGGAAAATCCCTACTTTATCCATGGAATTCGTTAAGAAATATGTTTAACTTTTGGTCGTTTCGCAGTTGTAGCCTCTAGTAAAACGGGTGTCAGTATAGCGCACCGTTGCTAATTATAAGCTGAAGTGACATAGAAACATTTCCTTGGCACAAAACTCGTGGAAGGAGATTGACATTCCCTTGGTACTTGGAAGTACCCGCTAGACACGGTAAACTCATTGCTGTTAGCCCTGACGAACTGTTACAATCCAGTTAACCTACATTTGAACAAAAAGAAAACTGAGCCGAACTGTCAGTCGTCTCTGTGGCGTTTTTCAGTTATAGTCAGGTAATCTCATTAGAGACACTCGGAAAGTCCAATTTCTTTGTATTAGAGAACTAGGCTATGTAGTATCTGTATTGTACCCTTGCTATTTCGTCATGAAGGGTACGACATATATCCTCCCTGTAGGGCTAACAGTTTTTCAAAGCACCTCTATTCAAAAGAACCTATTTTATATCATAAAAAGTAACATAAAAGTGATCCTGTTTTATGAATGAATGAATGAATGAATGAATGAATGGTTTATTTGATCAACATCAACATGATCCTTAAAAAGTACATCGCAGCCAAATAAAGTGGCTGAATTACATACTTTTCACATCAAGAGATAAGGCTATATACAAATTGGCATTTGGTACAAATATTAATATTTATTACATATAGTAATAATGTTCTAAATGTGGAGAGGTTACTGTTCGTTTAGTAGTTTTATCATGTACGGAATTGGACTGTTCTTGTATCTGTTTGTTCGTGCTATGAATGTGGACAGAAGGTGTTTATTTCTAATGTCTCTGGAGCTGACATCGCCGCGGGAAGGAGGAAACCCGACATTTTAAAGTCATTCATGGCCACCCTTAGCTTGCAAAGTGAACCTTTTCATGCTAGTCAAGACTAGTTACACCAATACGCCATTATATGTTTGTGCAAAGCTCTTATATGAGTCTGAATCAATTCAGCCACCATGTTTTTAATTTCTTGCACAATTTCACGACAAGTCTCGATGTTTTTCTCAACGGAACAATCTTAGCGTATGTTTGTTCATTCAAGGTGGTCGTAGGAGTATCAACTGTACACGAAGACTTTAGATCTCCAAGTCATGTATCTATTCCTTAAACATTCGCTAACGAAGTGGTCCTTAGATGAAAGTACACACCCGCAGAAACACGGTTCAAAGCCTTCCCCAGATCTTTTAGCTTCCTTGTTTGCGATGAAATTAGAGATGCAAGTTAGTGAAGATGACGATGTACGCAAGAGAGCTTTTAGCGTCTGGTCCCGGGGTGTCTGTTGTTAGACGCGCCTGACGTATTGACTATGTAGTCATCCAAATGCGAGTGTGGCCTCCGGTTGCATTTATCCGATTCATTAGGAGGCGAAGTTCATTGTCGAGCACAATGGGAGTTTTTAAACATCGAGTCGTGTGGCGTAACGACAGCTCGGAACCAAGAGGTCCCAAGTTCGAATCCTGCCATGGCACGGATCTTGTGCTCTTGGGAAAGGCACTTTATACGACTTTATGGCGGCATAAAATAAGTTGAAAAAAACTTGAAGTGTGCCCTCGCCATGTCTTGTAATAAAGGTTGGAATAGAAAAAAAAACATCGAGTCGAACGTTGTAAGACACTGAGACCGTGGCCACTGGTTGACCACACGTGTACATCTCATTACTAATTCAAAAATGAATTTTATCGATAAATCATGTTTTCTATCTCAAATCATATTTTATCTCTCAAATCATATTTTCTACACCATATTTTTTTGATATCAAAATGGTTTCATCCCTTCAAATTCATTTCATATGGACCCACCACACGGGGCTATTCAAAGACATGCAGGCATTTGTGCCCATTTAAGTGGATTAAGCTGATTTCCTTAATGCACTCGGACGGACACGTTAGAAGTGGCGGGTGTATGATGTGATACTTACAGAGAGATGTGATCAGCGGCCCATGGCTCGGTGGACAATTTTTTTTTATTCAAACAATTCAAACACATGGTGGCGGCAGACCACAAGATTTTTCGACTTATTTATATTATATGCCGCCACCAAAGCAGATTACAAATACAGGACAGGACAATACTTATTTTCACTTGAGTTAAAGGACAAGTAAAGTAATTTCAGTTTTGGTGCCTTTCAACCCAAAATCCAGTTTGCAAATGGTGATTCATTAGTTTATACCAGTCCCGGGTTTCTCTTTATACTTTTCTTTTTTGTACTAACGCTAACAGAATAGTGATTTCATAGCCAGTTAATTAGATTAAGTGGACAGACTACGTCACCGCATCCTCCTGGTGCAATTGGCAGGCATCAAACGTGAACATGGTTTTGATCAAATATCACCCCTATGTGTGCAAGACTGCTAGAAGCCAATGAATCACCTTTTGCAAATAGGATTTTGGGTTAAAAGGCACCATAAGTGAAATTAGTGTATTTGTCCTTTAAAAGTGAGGAAAATCGTGTAAAGTGACTTTCGATTTCCCAAGGGCACACGATCAGGACTCAAACCCGGAACCTCTTGGTTCTGGATCGATCACTCTGCAGTTACGCCCGACGACCCCACGATATGACACGAGCCCCTGGTTACACAGTAGAGTGTCCATTAGGTCCTCCTCTCCTGGTGTAGCACGTGGTTGTACATCTTTTTTTTCGAACACTGTCCTTGTACCACGATTTTTTACCAACTCATGTAAAAGTGAGTACCTAGTTTCAGTTAGGGACGTCCTCTCGGAGGCCGGAGGTCCACTGTTTGAGGAAAATCTCACATCGAGCAGGTTAAAGAACCCACCATACTCATCGCCCACCCGGGTGTGAGTGGATCAAACTTCACAGTCCGGTCATACGCAGCTTATACATAATGTACAAACCTTGAGCCTGTTACCGCTTATAATTATGAGAAACAAACGAATTCTTGTTGTTATCCATTCCTGACAAACTTGTACCACATATACGTACTACAGCACTTTGTCCTATATCCATTAGCATTTGTCCAAGGACTTCACACTTGTACATGTATTCCGTCATATCCCTGCTGCATTACAATTTTTACAACGAAGATAAGTCAATGATTTGTATCGCTTTCTTACCGATGGATTTTTTTTTATTTTAGCCTAGTGCCCATTAATTCCCTGTTAATGTTGACGTCAGTTGTCCACGCATTGTTGCTTAGTGAAGCCGATCGTTCAAAAATCCAAACTAATACTGCACTTTATTTCCATCATGTTCAAACACTTTACCTATGCTAATGCTGGCCTAGATTGCCGTGGGTTTAACGGGTACCTTTGTGCCGTTGCTCACCTGTGCGGTAACACCTGTTCAACAGATCTAAAGCAATCCCACATCATATGGCGGCTTTCCGTTGGTTTCGTCAATGCCGTCGTGTATTTCCGCTGGGAATCTACAGTGCTTAGTTTTAGTGTCGCAAGTCTAGGGCTGTCCGTGAATTCAGCTCAGTGCTGCCCTGTTACAGCTATCACGCTAGCATTGTAGGGCAAATAGAGTACTATAACTCGACCTTGTTGAAAAGTGAACATATGGCAGAACCTGCTATCTAGAATAAATAAATACAATTGAATTATTCTCAGTGGTGTAACACTTCAGCTCTACAAGTAACATTCGTTTCTTCAATTTTGCTGTTAACAGCAAGAGATGGGTTCTAGCAGTAGATGAATAGAATACATGAAAACACGCGCGTGCTCAATGCTTGCATCTCCTTGCTTGCTGCCCTGTTGCAAATTGCTACCGCGTACGGAACTATCGTTTTGGGTGGCCGATCTGTGGGTTTGTGTGTCTGTGTGCCCGGACAGAGTAGGTTGACAGGCAGCAGAGTGACAGGAGCTCAACGGGTCGCGCGCGCGCGCACACACACACACACACACACACACACACACACACACACACACACACACACACACACACACACACACACACACACACACACCAACATTTTAATTTCTTTTTAACTCCCAGCTGCCTTGTTCAACAGTTGTAACTATATTTGCCTTTTTCAATCATTGTAAACATTTTTCAACTCATTCCGAACTCCTCGTTATTGGCCCTGCAGGCGTGTGACTCTGACCATGACTGTACCAGCGGCTGCTGTGCGCGGTGGAACCCCAGCTCCAACCTGGCGGTGTGCAAGCCGCTGGGCCAGGAGGGACAGCTGTGCCACACCGCCTCCAACAGCATGCCGTTCCCGTTCAGCGGCGTCAGGCGGTTCTGGAGGTGTGTCAGTCTGTGTGTTTGTGTGTGTGTGTGTGTGTTTGTTTGTGTGCGTGCCTCTGTGTGTGTGTGTGTGTGTGTGTGTGTGTGTGTGTGTGTATGTGAGCGTGTGCGTGCGTGCGTGCATTTTGTTATCAAAACTTTTCGTACTAGGCGGTAGGGACTGCAATGCATATGTCACAACACCTCCGCTAGATAATGTACAATAACTATGTGGTTTTGTGTACATGTGTAACTACGCTACGTACATTGTCCGCATTGTAAACTTTGAAGATTAGAACAACATGTCATTTTGTCTGCCAGTTTCTGTCAGTTCCTATTAGCAGACTGCTAGCTCATTGTAATTGTCGCCGGCTACTAGAGTCGTCCTACCGTACGTTCTTCACAGTCACATCCGTAAATAAAAAGAAAAGTTTCTAACGAAGAACCCCCCCCCCTCCCCACTAGGTGCCCGTGCGAGGAGGGTCTTACGTGCGAACGTAGCGAGGGGAACATCGGACACTGCCGCCAGCCTGCCACCACCGCGGTCCCAGGGGACCAAAAGAGGGCCTGGGAGCCCGAGGGACCGGTCAGAGGACCCGAGGGGGCAGCCTGGAAACCCGAGGGAGCAGCCTGGAAACCCGAGGGAACAGCTTGGAAACCCGAAGTACTGGCTTGGAAACCGGATGGTCCCGCCCAGACGTTGAGTCCTGAAGAGCTGCTGGAGTGGATAGAGGCAGAGAAGGCTCTGATGGACATGGAGATGCAGTAGACTAGAAATACTCATCAGTTGATCCATTGACACGATTGGTTGATTTTTTGATTGATTGATTGATTTAGTGCCACACAGTGGCGACGAGCGTTGACAGGGTAGAGGTTATCACCATGATGCAAGATCCTTGAACGGTAATGGATGTGCCATTTGGCAGAAGGTTGTCATTCTGAGCCAACATGCCATTGTCATATTTCATCTTCAAACTGTATCGCACGTGCATTTTTTTAGAACATAAACACGGAATTGCATCACATTCTAATAGTTCTTACAACAGCGTACGTTGTAAAGGCGATGCACTGTAACATTGGGTGCGAATTGAAGCCTAAGTCACGTGGAAGTGTGACTAGCAATGGCTGTCTGGCAATAACAGAGGTACATGCACTAGTCCCAGGCTAGTGTTAGGTTATCATTGCACAGAACTGTCCGAGCGGATTTGTAGAGATTAGTAGTGCACATTCTAGGCCTCTCTCAGACAAGTTCTTTTCGGCATGAGCGGAGTTTCAGATGTTTTAACGTCTGTTTCTTCTGTCCGTGTCTACACAGCACGACTGTTCATTAGATCAGATCAATGACATAGTCAGAGTTTTTGATATGACATTACCAAGTTCTTTACGATGAAAAGAATTATGTTTAATCAGAAATAATAAAGAGAATATATTGATGAGCACTATTATATCTTTATTGTGCGCGTGTCTGTTTGTATGTATGCATGCATATTTCTATCTTTCTGTGTGTTTGCATGTATGTGTATTTATATATCTCTCTGTTTGTATGTATGCAACGTTATGTGTATTTTTCTATATATATATTACAGACGTGGTGGGGACACACTCAAGTTTTTTTATCAACCTATATTAAACTTATATTAATGCCACCACCAACACAGGGGACAATACAACACTCATTTTCACCTGAGCGAAGTGACAAATTTAAAGTCGTATAAAGTGCCTTTCCCAAGTGCACAGGATCGGTGGCATGTCAGGACTCGAACCCAGGACCTCTTGGTTCTGCGAGTCGAGCACTCTGCCGCTACGCCACGCGACCCCACGTGTATTTCTGTGGGTGTATGTGTGTTTGTATGACGACGCATATATGGGACCTCACTGCTTTGGGTTCAGTAGTCTAGAATAGTTAGGTAGAATAGTTGAGATAGACACAAAGGTAGTTTTATCAACCTCCATACCTTTCGACCGTCTGGGCTCAACAAGTCTGATCCTGTGGTTCATTAATTGATAAGATGCTTTAGGTAGGAAGTTCCCCATAGTAAACACAGTGGATCTTTAGTTGGGTCCAAATCTCCAGAACCATATGAAAGTATGCATAGCTCGGAAAAGCAGTGAACGGATCCGCCTGGACTGTTATCTTTCGTATTGCCACTTCCAGGGATTTCTAAACAACCATACTCTGGTAAGGCCATGCTGATTTAAATATATGGATGGCATCCACACGCGCATGAATTTTCGTCCGTTTCCCCCCAAAAAAGTTTTCGACCATACTGTAAGTCGTACAAAGCAACTTCAAAATTAGCAAATATATGCCGAAGATTGTAAAAAAAAATATCGGAGAACGATACTGATGTCTTAGAATGCCAAAATCAATTCCAGAGAAAAAGAAGAAAAAGGAAATAATGCGAAGAAGGGAAAATAACGAGTTCATACTCTGTATTTAGTCATTTGTTCAACCTTCATGACCACGTAGATTTCATAATAAAGGACCGCGTAGATTTCATAATGAAGGCAAGTGTTTTTTGCCAAACTGTTTTTTTATTCGCACGCTCGCATCAGTTTTGAGGTTGCCAGAGGATGTCATCCATATAATCAAATCAACATGGCCTGATGAGCAATTTCCAGGAACCGGCAAATAGCCGTGATTAACAAGTATCCAACGGCCAGAAAGTCAAAGGTCCAGTTGCAGATAACAGCGTGATACAAGCCCATGGGTAGGTCGTCTAAAGAACCCTTCTTACTAAAGCCAATCCTCTGGAAATGAGAACGCATTTTATGACGACAACAACAAACACTGGGCACACCAAGAAAAGCTGGACAATTAGCTTCTAATCTTGTAACAGATAAGATAAGATGTCCTCTGTCTTTGCGTCTATTTGACTGTGATAGTTTCTCCAAAAATAAGGCATGGACGTAAACAAAGATAGTCTTACACTAAAATGCCCACCACAACGACAAAAAAATGACCAAAAAATTGTGTAAAAAGAAGTGAAATGAAATGCAACTTTTTTTATTGTATATAGAATTCAATAATGGAAAAAATTACTTGCTACACGGTAGAATATTAATCACCATTTAAAGTAAAAAGTATTTTTGCTGCCTCGGCGTGCAGTAACAAACTGACGTACGCATGTACCAGCTGGAATATTCAACTTTAAGAAGAAATTGTTCTCTTTCTTCACTAACTAAATGCGCTAAGTCGGTATACGTAAGACTATGCCACTTCTATCTATACTTGTTCCGTCCACTGTTTATGTTACTCAGGGGGACTGTTCAAAACCCAAGACAAGGGGAAAGAGTCTTCGACTTGCATTCATTATGTGGAAGAGCTGAAGAAATGTTATATGACTATATTCATAATTGGCAATCGAGTCTCTACTCGCAGCAGTCGTCTGTTTTTAAGTGCTTCAGATGAAGACAAGAGAGTTACGGATGTACGTCACTTCTTGCTGTTTGACGTCACTTCCTGCTGTTTGACTGATAAGCGTCTTGAAGCCTTGAGACAAGATAAATATGTAATCTCACGTCTCACGTGCACGTTCATCTGTTTGCCTGTTTCATGTATCAGCACTTGTCGGTCGGTGTCTATCTACAATTTGATATTGACAACGTGTTTAAAGGCATCCAATGCGGTTTTTAGGGCTTGGAAACACGATTTTTCAAAGCCAACATTCTTTTTATATATTATTTATCTACATAGTGAGTTGAAACCACACTATCTCAATGTATATTGACCCTCATGGAGCAAAAATTCCCATGATTTTGACAGAAATTGTTACTGGAATGGCCCTGGGCTGATTTTTAGGGTACCGCCTAGAAAATAAATGACTTATCTTGGGGGCTTGTTCCTGCAGTTTTAAATGCCCAAGGTATGAAATGCTGACTCAAATGTGCTAATGCGAAGCAGTATGTATCAATATCAAAGATTTCCTTATTCAGGGTACTTCCAGTTTTGCTGCCCTGAAATCGCATTGGATGCCTTTATCTTGTAGAAGAGTAGAACAACCGACACTGCCTGCAAACCTAAAGCAACCTGAGTCGAGTGACAATTGAATGACCATATGGGCATCTAGATCTTTGCACTAGACAAACTTAAAAGTTTTACAACAGAATTTAATTTAAGCTATAAAAATATCAAATCAGTGCCAAAACATTACCTGAGTGTGTCGTTTGAGAAATGGAATAGAGTACCTTAAGATGTGGACTCAGCTATGGTATATCAGAAAGACTTTGTAATGCTTGGCGTGGGCGTATTTGTGAGTCAGGAAAGTGTGAATTTTAATTTCTGCCCAAAGGCACGAGACAGCTCTCAGTCCTTCATAACCATATGAATTGTCATATTAAACTTCTACAGGGGCTGAATGAAAGGTAGAGGGTGGATACCGACTGGGGGCAATACTTGGCGAGTAGCGCTAGCAGGCTTCGTTAGCGTGCCCTTGGGAAAGGCACTTCAAACCTATTTCTTTACTTTTATTCTAAGTGACTTGAAGCTACGTTGCGACGCAGACAGAGTGCAAAACGTGCTTTATTTACATGAAGAACAAACACTTTACAGTCAAGGCGCCGATAGCAGAAGATGCAGCACCGGAAACTCATCAGATATGTCAGATATCTAGTCAGTATCTACGGGATTCATCGGACAAGTGTTGACACGATTACGTTTCCAAAACCTTGATAACACCTCTGAATGGTTCGTGTGATATCTTATCGTCCCGACATTACAAGACTTGAAAATATAGTTTCAAACTGTACGTCACAAAGAACATGTATTGTTGTGGAGGTGGAGGCCACATGTGACGATGTGTTTTGCAGTGGTTTGATGGTTTCCAAGAAAAACAAGTATAAAGTTATGAATATATTAAAGGAATACGTCCATTACAGTCGAAATGGCTTCTTCAAGCTGAACGTTTTCCACAAAACATAGCACAACTGCAACACATTAATAGTACACCTACAGTACACCAAAATAACACTAGATACGGTTTTCTACAAGTCTTTCATCCATACAATTCACTGAATGTGTAGAATAATACAATGTAGTGCAAATATACATAACATAGTATTTGTAAAAAATAGCAGCATTCAATTCGTGGATTGGCTAGGTAGGTCTTTGGGATAAACTTTACAAAAATCATGTATGGTTCTTTGAGCAGTTTTGTCTACTCATACTAACATCATTGAGTTCATTCCAGCATAAAAGTTGTTCAGAACACACTAACTCCGGTATAGTCTATATCACAGAATGGGTAGATAGATATCTAAATGGCTGAACGTTTGGTTCAAAGGACCTGACATGAATTTTCTGTATACAATCTTCTACAATAATCTCTCATGCACAGTGATTGGTGGAAGATAGAAATATCCCCTCTTTGTTAAATCCATTGTGAGAAACAACAAACGTCTTTGTCAGTGGACACGTTAATGTAGTAATAATCTTAATACAAACATGTTTCCGTTTTATCGTGCCACTTGTAATACTCAAAAAAGTTCTGAAATGTACGTATGTCAAAGACTTTCAGTTCTGTCAGCTCCAGTTGACAAACATGGTAGACTGCAGTGACATCCGGGTTTCTTTTTATATTTGGTTCATGTGGACGCCCAACAGAGTTTACGACAGTGGGTTTATTGCTATTTTACGACAGCTTCGATATGTTGCCGATTTACGGCGGCATCTTCTAGATGATGTATCCAAAAACGATATAAAAACTTTTTCATAACAAACACAACTGTCGGAAATCTGTTCGGAGGTAGCAGAACCCTTTTTTCATATTTTTTCTGCCAATGGTAAACTGTTAATACTGGACGACAGTTGTCGGCTCTAAGCGTATCCCACAAGCCTCGGCGTGGTCGGGAACGTTCTGCGCATGCCCATGCACTTCTCCTGGTCGATGAAGAGAGAGTTGGCCTTGACCGACAGGTCGTGTTCAAGGGCGTCCTTGGTGTGCACCAGGGCCTGGGGGGGGGGGCAAAGTCAAGGTCAGTCATGATCAGTATGATGTTGATCTGTAATGTTACAGAATCAGCATTTCTGAACTAGTCAAGCTTTCTATGGAGCACTGTGAAGATAGTAATAAGACATACAAGTGACAAAACAACCCATGTCTAGTTGTAATAAAATAGGGATCCAACCATGCACTCGTATACGTCTGATCATGGAAATGTTTAAGCTAAAATCCCGTGTCTTTGTCTTCATCAAATTCATAAGAAAGCTTCATATCTTCAAATCTAGATATCGGTGATACGTATCGGACGTCTGGTGTGAAGATACGCCGTAATTTCCGTTTCTAAAGCGGATATGACTGTTCTTGACGCGATCCTGCGACAGATAGTTGTGTTCCCACCGGGTTTAACAGATCCATCAGCATATTTGATGGCTCGCTTCATAAATATTCATTTCTTCAAACTGTCAACATGATTGGAAAGAACTATGACACGAATGTATAAAAAGACTCCCATTCACGCTGATATACGGCTATTCAATACTAATGGAAGCGGTTGATGTAACTGTGGTGATTGTTTGATGTAACAGGTATCTAGGAATGACTGATCAAGATTCTTGTGATACCTGAGTTACATGTAAATCACACCTACTATTCCTGTGATATATGTATTTTGCCAGTATTTGCTCTGAAGAAATCCGAATCAACATTCGCCCAGTCCGATGTGCAGATTGATCGATAGACATAGTTGATAGTTACTTAGGGACCAGACTAACCTGAAGAGTGTCCTCTGCCTGTCGCAGACGGAAGTGCAGCGTCTCGATGGTCTCTGCGATCTGCCCGACTTCAGAAACCAGCCTGGAATCGACAAACATGCGTTAAATTGAGAGTCAGAGGTAACGTGATAGACGTGATAGTATGCTTATAGACTTGAATGAAGAGAATCTAAAAGTGACCGCTTAATTTTGTCTCTTCGTTCCTTACAGAATTTGCTTGATGGTCCGTTACAAGACTTATCGTTAATGGTTTGTTTGTTTGTTTGTTTGTTTGTTTGTTCGCGTATTCACCCGTGTTGTGGCGGGTCCCTGTAGATCTTGATGCCGGGGAGTTTGTGTTTGTTTTTATGGTTTGTTTGTTTGTTCGTTCGCGTATTCACCTGTGTTGTGGCGGGTCCCTGCACAGCTCGGTGTTGGATAGTTTGCTTGTGTTTGTTTGTTTGTTTGTTTGCTTGTTTGTTTGTTTGTTTGTTTGTTTGTTTGTTTCTTTGCATATTTACCTGTGTTGTGGCGGGTCCCTGCAGAGCTCGGTGTTGGGTCGCCGTGTCCGGGAGTCCAGGCGGGTCTGTGCCACCTTCATGGGAGCCTCCTTGTCAGCGATGGCCTTCTTAATCTGCAGGATGGTCTGCTCCGTCTGGAAGATCTCCTGGAGGGTCTGGGGTGGAGGGGAAGACAGTAAGAATGTTAGCAACATATGGAGTAGTCTACGTTAGAAAATGACTTGTTATCTTGAGTAAGTGGACATCGAAGCACATTGTCTTCTTTTACCTGGCACTGTGCTGCTAAACGTACGGTTTCTGTGGGGGGGGGGGTGTCTTTTTGTAGAAATTGGAGATACAAGATGTCCTTGTCATTAAGTCGACAGTATTTTTGATAAGGCACTGTTTACAAATGTGCCATACATCATGTATTTTACTATATTGTTGCACAATTAAGATGTTTGATCGTTTGAAGTTTTCTCGAGCAAGCTTTATGAAGAATAAGGAAGCAAATGTCTGAGGCCAGTCACCTTAGCCAGGTGCTGCTGCAGCTTGTTCTTGGCGTCCATGGTCTCGGAGATGCGGTTGGAGAAGCCGACGTTCACGTTGTTGAAGTGAGTCCACATCTCGTTGGAGCACTGGTTCAGCAGAGCCTCGATGTCTGCCCGCAGCTTGGCGGAGGCGGCGCGCTCGGACTGGGAGCGCAGGATGTTGTTGTCACTGAACTTGGCCCAGGTCTCGGGCACGGTCACACTGTAGGGAGCAGAAAAGCGTCGACTTAGTTATTCCTACAGGGCACAACCTAAAGGATACTCTAAGGATGGCAGACATGATAAAGGCTCGAGAGGAAAGGAGATATTAAGAAGGAAGATCTAGAAAAGAGAGCAAGGAATAAACAGAAAGAAAGAATGAGAGATGGGACATGAAGAAGTATAAAAAGCAAGGATAGGGTAGATATAAGGGCTGTAGTGCAAATGCCACTCGGCAGGTGGCGCTATTGACCGGTACTTACGTGGCGTCCACCTTCTCCACGCCCCTGTGGTAGGCGATTCCCTCGGAGGTGTTCCTGAGCTGGTGGCAGTAGTCGTCGATGCGGTGGGCCACGTGCTTGTCGCTGACGTCACGCTCAAGCTCGTGCTGTGCGGCGCGGTTGTTTCTAATGAAGAGAAAAAAGGGCAACGGTTAGTCAGGAACGACCCCTTGTAACAAGTGCTGGTCCTGCAAGTAACATGACATATCTTTATCACCAATTTGTGTGTTGGCTCGCTGTCCTTGTGTTCGTGTGTTTGGCCTCTTGATAATCATACCAATTGAGAAATGCACATGGAACAGAGGAAAGGTGAAGTAAGTTAGAAGAACAGTCAATTGGTAATCTAACTGCTGCTCTTATCTGGCCCGCTAGAGTACACCTGACCATAAGGATCTCTAGCTACAGATCTGCAGCCAGAAAGGTAAGGTGACCTTTACAAACGTTGACACAAGTTGCGTTTATGGTGTTACTGTATTGACCGTAACCAAGATAACCAAGGACGCCCACTGCTGTAGCTCACTAAGCCAACAATCAACTAGATTACACGGGGAGATGACCATAATTACAAGTAATTACAGGGAATGGTTAAGTACATGGTAATCATACCGTAATTACCAGCTTCTCAAAAAGGTGATATTTTTTATTCAATTGTCGAACGGACTTTTGGCTCATCATAACTGGAAAATTATGACATCCCTTGCTTGACGCTTTTGCTGCTTTCTTGCGGTATTTGTTGTGCATGTACTCCTAAATGATTGTTGACAGTGAGACGGCATGTGATATTAAATGAACCTTATATTTTGTTTGTGTGTTTAATACTGACGTCCTTATAGCCTGTAAATTCTTTACCATGCACTGCGTCGCAGAGAAGAAAGAAAGCCATTGACCATTCTTAAAGATTGCGCTACTACCCCCCTCAACCTACTGACCTTTACTGACAGTAGTAAAAGTTTATTTGAGGACCTCAGCATATGACGTGTGTGTGCCTGTGGTTAGAACACACCTGTCCTGAGTACCATGTGTGTACAGGGCGTGGTTCTGACGCTACCTGTCAGCAGGTAAACCTTACCTGTCCACACAGGTGTGCAAAGGTGAGTCAGACAGGTGTGCAAGTAAACCCACGTCATTTCCTGACAATTAGACGTCTATTTGGGTAATGATGATTTTATGGAGAGTAATGATGGGTCTATTAGAGCCATGATGTGACCCTACAAATGTGTGTTTCTCTTAGAATAAATGTCAAAAGACTGTGTTGTTATATCATGTATGTGAGAGAGCAAGACCACAATATATCGGATCATTGGTCATTTTTATGAAAGACCTATGTCCTACGTTTAGTTTATAGTAATTTTGCATAGCTTTGTTTGCACGTGTTGTTTGTAGGATTCGAAACAATAAACTCAACAGAACATTGAGTTTTTTCAGCCTTTGATTTTTTTCTAACGGTGGTTTTATGTGTACCTTAGGTCTCTATGTGCAACGAAAATACAATCTTATTTCTACAAGGCAAAGCTTTGGCACATATCCACCCCCCTCCCCACAGTCGTCTCCATAGAAATCACTTCTGTTGTAGTTACCGCGCGCCAGAGAAACCCTGGCCGCCATCTTGGTTACTCAAGTGTCAAGTGTGACCTTCTAACCGTTACATGAGACCGACTCGCCTTACCGCCGACATTTTCTCTGTTAACTCACCCGAAACGTCCAAAACAATCACATTTCAACCCCGTAACTTTACCCACTTCCTGCCGCCGCGGAACGGGCAATTCATTTCCACTCTTGGAACGATATAGTTTAAGATTAATGATTTGAACATATTTGGTTTAATCGCGGCCATGTTTGGCCAATGTTTCACGGCGTCGCGTTGCTAGGACACGGCAGTGACCTTCGACCTCAACTCGGCTTCCAGAGTTGTAGCAACATCATTACGTTTTGTTTTTGCGAGGAGAGTTTGTTTTTTCTACCTCCCCAGAACCTAACCCGGCCGTTTATACATCTGTTGAGGCATGGGATCAGCTGTGTAAAGCTGCCCTTTGCCAGGAGTGTATTTCTGGGACGCTCAAGTCTTTCTCCTGCCTTTGTTTTTACAGACAAGGACCTCAGCTTGGATATCGGAATGTCCCAAGACTAAACAGATCAGTCTCTTGGCGGTAATTACGGAGAAACAGATCAAAACATCTAGCCAAAACAACTTTCATCTCACAAATAACTCCTGTGCTAAGACAGAAGGCCTTCTGTTTCAGGATCTGTGTTGACATGTTTACGGTATCCGTGTCGGGAGTGGCAGGGGAGCTGTAAGAAGTTGTTGATGGTTCTGTTGAGTTTGTGTTACTCGCCTTTTTGCTTTGTGAATACTCGTGTGACGGTTTTCAAACATCCCCAAACCGCATTCCTGGCCCAATGCCATACCATTGTTGCATACCGATTCGCTACTTCAGTAACTTATATATTGACTTTCACCAAAAGGTACATCATATTGTTGTGCCTGTTAAAGACGACAGATAATGGCAACAAGTGAAGATGACGTCAGTACTTACGCAAGCTGAGCATTTGCCTTCTCGATGGCTCTGCGCATGCGCTCCTGGCAAGACTTGATGACGTCCACTTCCTGCGAGAAACGAAAAGAAAATGATAAATGAAAGGTGAATTTACATATATATCATAACACATAATTTTATAGTGGGTAAACTTTTTCATCTACAGCAGATTTACAGAGAAAATGATTTTGGATTATTTATGCCATAGACATCAATTAGTTTTACTGGGTAAATTCCGAGTAACTTTGCCCAAAAATCAAACCTAAAGTTCCCACAACCCCTCATGATTGATCTACAGTGAGGTACAGCTGAGTATTTAACGTTTTCAAGTTGCCGAGCTGCCTTTTTAGCCTGCACACACTCCACACAAAAAAAAAGCCTGCCAGCCGAAAGACAACATTCTGTCTCAATATCTGCTTGAAGATCTAGATGACGTCATGAGTACCCGTGCCTACTGACCGTGCCATACCTGAGGTGTTTTCACACATCTAAGAACGTAACTTCTCCCCCTGCTGACTTAAGTTACTGCTGACCAGGTTTCTACCACATGCTGAGGGGGGCGCTTCACTGAACACCGCCTGCACGGAACGGGCCTTATAAGGACGGCCTGACCTATCCAATACAATTTCAGGGCGGCAAAACTAAAAATATTCTGAATAAGGCCGTCTTTGTGATATTGACACATACTATCCCACATTAGCACATTTGAATCAGTATTTCATACTAGCCTTAAGATTAGTCCTTTATTTTCCGGGTGGTACCCTAAAAATCAATCCATGTCCTTCCAGTAACCGTTTTTCGTCAGAATTTTGGGCCTAAACATAACTGACTCAATACTAATTATAAACCTTACCTAAGACGCCTTCGATCCAAGAAGCACATAAATCACCCTTCAAGTTCAACTTAATCTTGTACGCGCGCCTTGGGTCAAAGCTACGAACGTGACATTTCTGATAACGCTGTTTGTCAAGAACACAAAAGGTTTGTTAAACGTCCTTTGTTGGAGTGTTTTCTTGTCAAACACAGGGACCCCCCACCCCCTTCAACACTCACGTTCTGTACACCACCTTCACCGCGACTTTCAATAGGCCAAGCGGTTTATTACTGCTGATTTGCTGGCGTTCTGACACAGACGAGAGACGAAGAATTCAATAGTGCTTTTTGATGACGCTAAAAGACTGGCAACCGCCAAAGTCAAACATGCCGTAGCCGGCTATACATGTAGCTAGCGACTGACGGCCAAGTTTGTATTGTTTGGTTCGTGTTTATGGATACCGCTTGAGGAGAAGGTACTACGATAGTAGCGGTTCTGAGGAAAATAATTTTGGGATGGCGTTAATTTTTTAATTGTAAAATGCTACTAGAGTTTGGGTTGGACATGTTACCGTACTGGGGACGACCTAGGTAGTTTCTCCATTTTTGTAAAAAAAAGACACTAGATTTGAAACCCGGAATTTCTTCTGTAGTACCATAGAAACTCACCAGGCGCTCCATATATTTAAAATTATCCTACCACATTCCAAATATCATACAGATATGTTCACAACGTCTAGAATTATCCCGCCCATAGACACAATCTACACGCCCACCCACTCTCAAGCAAATCACACTGAAAAGATAACCTTCTTTGCTGCTAATAATCTGCCTTATAGCGAACTGAGCAGCATCTAAGAACATTACGAATGTAAAAATACTAAAAAGAAGGGTTGTACCCACCGATAGCAGCTCCCTCTCCACGCCGTCGTGCACCAGGTCGATGCCTTGCCTCTTCTCGCGGTGGTACAGGCACTCCTGAGCCACCTGCAGGGGCGACTCCGTCTCCGCTAGGGCGCGCTCCAGCCGCTTCTTCACCTGAGGGGGAGGAGGTGGGGAAGGTAAGGTTGGAGATACGTTGATGAAGGTTGGACATCCAGGTAAACCATATTCACAGACAATTCAAACTCTAGTACTGGATAAAGTACGAAGATTACTTCCGGACTTTTTGAGTCACATCCACCACTCCTCTTCAGCGTCGCTTTAAGTGACTCTGTTTTAGTGACGCTCAAAAAGAGTGGTGGATGTCACTCGAAACGTCAAGAAGTAATTCATACAATTGATCCAGTAGTAGAGTTGGAATTGTCTTCCAATAAATTGTTTGAATTGTTTCCAATCAGGATTTTACCGTTAAAATACATATAAATACTAGTAACATGAAGATCCACCAACAACTTGTCGAGTTATGTATATAGGAGAACTATTGAATTGGCGTAATTTCTTCAAGAATATTCAAAAAGTCTTATCCAATATTGCACAATCTCTCTCTCTCTCTGGCGTTTTTCCCGTGATTCTGCTTGCATGTCTAACCGTCCAACATGGCGGCTACAACTACATGACGTCATAGTCACGTGACATGTACTACCTCCACCAGGTTGTTGGTCTCGGCGACTTGCGCCTCGATCTCGTGGTTGAGTTCCCTCTTCCAGAAGTGGATGTCTGAGACGCGCTCGCCCATCGCCTTAGAAGACACCTCCTGTGGTTTAAGGAGACATTGACCACATACGTTACTAAGGAGACACCTACCTCTACAAGGCTGTTTGTTTCTGCCACTTGCTGTTCGATCTCGTGGTTCAACTCGTTCTTCCAGAAATGAATGTCGGCGACGCGCTCTCCCATGGCCTTAGACGAAACTTCCTAGAAGATAGAAAGAGAGGGGAAAACGTACGGTTGGGTTAGTACCGAAGAGGGAAAGAGGGAGACCAAAGCTGATATGCATGGCGACGCACTTTCCAAAAAGACCTGGAAAATACAGGGGTGCTATACTGACATATGCTGAGAATCAGGCCAAAGATGGAACAGGGTAGAAGAAACTTGCTGCCCAATGATCTACGCACGGGAGGAATTAAGTAAGGTTAGTACGGCCTGGCGCGTCTGTGGGTGTTTCCACTAAGAAACGAATGAAATGGTGATAATGAAACTGATGAAGAGGTACAAAATGATGTTAACTTGTTATATATGAAAGTAAACAAAAGAAGTCAACGTGAAATGTATGAAGTGCATGTGTATGTGTATGAAATGATAATACACAGAAAAATCAGCAAATGATATAGGAAAGACCCCAAATAGGATGCATAATAAACCATATTACATGTTCTTCCTACTTCCCTCTACTGGTATTTACAATAATATCTCTAACACCAAAGAAAACATTAAAAATGTCGTCTTATTCATGCAAACACTGGGCTTATGAAGTGCACTTATTAACCCTAACCACCTAACTTACTCCTAACATACAGTCATGTAAACATAAAAAAATTCCATCCCTACCAAGCCGTAAGCCTAAGTCAGAGTCTACCCCTACACTTTTAACACTATATTAGGCTATCAGGCTGCCAGTTCTCTGTTGATTACGTTGTTAGGCAGCAGTTAGAAGGTTAAGGCGCCCACCTGTGTACGGTTGGTCCTCTGGTCCTCATCGTGCACCATCCTGGCCGTGTCCATGCGCAGCCTCTCCGCGCTGTTCCGGGTCGAGTCGCTCTGCTTGTAGTTCGCGTAGTTGGACTTAAACCAGTCATCGGGGGTGTACCTGTGGGCCCAGGGGATTAATGTTAGCAACCTAATAACCATGATAACTAGAAAGGTAACATTTGCAAAGCAAATGCAATATATTTACCTTCACCTGGTCTAGCCCAAGAAACTAGTACTGCACTGTTTATTGTTACTCAAAGTCAAGTACATTCATGTGTATGGTGAGCAGCCTCTCCGATCCTGTTCTTGTACAAAATGTAACCCAACATCACCACAGGGTGTTGCTACTGTATCGGTTACCATGGTGACAGACGTCTGGTCCAGGTCATTGACTTAATTTTTTGGAGAAGAGGATGAAGAGGAAGAAGAAGAAACCGAGCAAAAACAATACGTTTTCCTGGCTGCGAAGATATGTCAAAACACACTGGTAGTTACTTTGTACTAGTAGGTCCCAGACATATTCTTACACAACTGCATATTGGGATGACACTTCAAATTTGAAATCTTTATATATCTTTATAGCCATATCTGTAATAACAGATGGATATGATCTTAAAGAAAGCTTTACAGTGTACTATTCCTTGAAAATCTACTGTTAGGTGTGGCAATCCTATACAGCGACAAGTACATTTTTGTTTTGTTAGAGATCTGTGCATGGTAAGATCTGTGGTGCGCAACACATATACAGTTCCTAGTTCTCTGCTAACGTACCGTGTGAAGAGCGCAGATCGGGCGGCGGGCAGGGAGCTGGTCAGCTTGTAGGTGCCGATCCCCTCCAGCCGGACGTTCTCAGGCAGACTCTTACTGAGCGGCTGCAGGGTGGGGTGGGTCTGAGACACCTGCGGGAACGGATGGAAAGGAAACCGTCAGTTTCATCAAGTGTAGCGTACTGGAGAACACACCCTACACTGGCTGTAACAAGACAGTTTACGTCTGTTTTGGCACAGAAAATGTAGACTGGGTACCATCCGGATTTTCGCTCCGCAACACTCGAAAAAAAGGTACCCCGAGGCTACAGAACGGTACCCAGGCTACGGAAAATGCACCAGGTAAGAAGATTGATTTTCACCGCCTTTTTTGTTTGTTGATGTCTGAAATAATAAATTTGTATCATGAAATACAGTTTTGTTCGTGTGTAGTTCTTAACAAAGTTTAACATTGGAACGTAGGGTTGACTTTTCATGGTTATTAATTAATGTAATGTGAGCAAAAGAAATGATAGAATGATCTGTCAAGACGTTCTTCATATGTTATTAAGCGGACACAGGAGGAGACAAAATGCGGTACTGAACTGAATGAGGCATACTATACACTCTCCATATACCAGTGCAAGCCTCCCCATATCATGTCATCACATAATGAAAAAGAAATTAAATGACATCGAAAGCTGTGTATGGTGTTGTTGCCATGTTGCAAACAAAATCCTTGTGCGAAGCTATATTCTAACACCAAAGAAGTTGCTCTTGAACCGCTGACATCCACATACAGACACATCACGACACAAGACGCACAGAAGCTTAGTTCAGTTTTCCTGCAAACATTAGCGACTCAACTAAACACAGGACTTGCTGAAGGCCGTAAAATAAAAACGGTGCGTTGTCCTTGTGGTACAAGCGGCTGTGCCTGGTACCAGATTCACGGTGCATGTGCCGACACAACGGTATGAGAAGGGAACATCGGGGTATACCGGGAACAGACTCTTGACGATTTCAGTGGTCGTGTTCTTTTTGACGCAACACGAGCCGTCACACGAGCAGCAGCACGGCTTTTTCTCCCCGCCGACAGGGAGACTCGCGGTCAGGGGCTGCAGCTGAGGCCGCGCAGAGGCGATCTGAAATCACGTCAGAACGGTTCAACCTAGCTCCGCTACACAGCCTGATGAGGACGGTATCTAGTACTAAAGATGGAGAACCATTGGGATGGACTTTTGCGTCCATGACGTTCACTACGCACATTTGCAAAAATTAGTACAAATGTAAAAAAAAAAACTGAGATTTTGCTACAAATAAGCTCCATGTGTATAACCCCGGTCCGTATAATGGGACCTATAGCGACCTTTCTCTGTCTGCACCAAAATGATTCAGCTGAGTGAGCATGCAATCAATTGCAGAAGGATCCGGTAACAACTCATTCCAAAACCAGTCTTGACTTAATCTTTTCCCACGAGAAACTTTTAGCGACTTGTTCAAGCAACATGCACCAAAATCACGTGTGACCCAGAACCGCCAACAACAACTCTGCCGACAGTTACAGAAGGACCACCGCGGAGACGTTATACCATCAAGGCCAAACCTTCTTCAGACATTCTTCGTAAATGGCCGTTGTCGGCACACAATCAGCGACTGGACTGATACAGTGATACATGTAAGTTTCGATTGATGGGAGCATGAAGATGGAGGTGAGTGAGTGAGTGAGTGAGTGAGTGAGTGAGTGAGTGAGTGAGTGAGTGAGTGAGTGAGTGAGTGAGTGAATGAATGAATGAATGAATGAATGAGTGAGTGAGTGAGTGAGTGAGTGAATGAATGAATGAATGAATGAATGAATGAATGAATGAATGAATGAATGAATGAATGAATGAATGAATGAATGAATGAATGAATGAATGAATGAAAATGTCGTCACAGTCTGATCTTGCATGTGCTGGGGCGCATGTGGGCTAATGTGAGAATTGTAGGGTTAGAATTAGAGTCTGATGTGTGTAGACTAGAGTTAGAGTTGTAGTCTGATGTGTTCCTACCTTGTAGTACGTGCTGGGACGCCAGGGCAGACTGAGGGAGTGAGAGATGACATGCGGGCCGGTGTGAGACTTGTAGGACGCCGCCATGGTGGAGATGTGCGGCAGGAAGCGGGTGCCGTCTCCCACACGGGGCCGCGTGTAGGTGGAGGTGATGGTGGAGCCGTAATATTCCATCGTGCCTCGACCTGTAAACAACAAACAACAGATTCAATAAACAAATAAACAAACACACACTCAAACAAACAAACGCTTGGCGAAAGTGCTGGTAGCCGGCAAAAATGCTTGCAAAGTTACCAAAAACAAAACACTAAATACATAAATAGCTGTCTGTTAGCAATTCTACACGTGGGCTCAGGTGTTGCACGTATGGTGTCCATGGTAACGGCTTATGAATCCATCAGTGTCGCCTGCACGTCATGGCAACAACGTGTCGCCAGGATTAGGGACAAACACTGCTCCACACTCTCGTGTTTATTATTAGAAAAAGTCTGCCTGAATGTGGCAAGGATGTACCCTATGAAATTTTTGTCTTGTGAAATAAAAACGCCTACATTTCTTCATACATAGAACGGTGTTCTTATAAGAGGCACGTGACGTTGTCATACCAAAGAGAAGGTGACGTAATGCATGAACTCATGTTCGAATAGTAAAAGTAAATAAATAGTAATATTGTTGTGTTACCATTGGTGACACTGTCAAGCTACGTTCTATCTAACGTAAGATCATATCTATCAATTCATTAAGAACATACATTCATGTTAGAACATGCATGTGTCTCTGGTATTCTGCATTTTAGCTTCAATTGAATTCAAGTATAGAAATTAAGCATGGATGCGGGCCATATAAAATATAATTGTGGCCAGGGACATATGGGTAACTAATGTATTGATGGAGAACCACAGTGATATCAAGCGGGTTGGCATCTTCTCTAAGCTACACACAGGAAAACACTCGCTATTTAATTAATGTTTATTTTGCCTGTTGCTAGATCTGCTTGTTCTAATTACAGAAAATCACGTAATTAGCGGCTTAGCCTAATATGCCACAATTCAATCTACAAAAGAAGGAATTCACATCTTAGCTTCTATACAGCTAATAAACGCCTGCCCAATACTACGCGGTTTATATAATCCCAATGGTTACGATACAACGAGGACATAGTATTTCTTCCTTATCAAACATGGATATCACTTGTCGTGAAGACCCAGAAGTGTTTGCCCACGTAATGTCCGTACGTCACAGCCTGGGTAGGTTATTAGATACACAAAGAAGCAGAAATAGAAGACAATAGCTACGGAGGGTGTTGCCGAAGGGGAGGTGATAATGGTGCCCTTAATTAGACAATTATATCAGATGGTATCTCCACATGGAAAAAGGGACAACCCTGAAGCGACCGAGAGAACGTATATGTGCTAAAGTAAACATGATGCAATCCAAGCTAGCTATCATTCGATAAGACAGTTATACATCCAAGCGCAAAGCTGTTGTAGCAGTAAGCATATGATTTGTAGGTTTTTCTCTCATAGAAATGGACAAAGTGTCTTGACGAAATTGTGTGCCGATGGACGGGCTCTTCGTGGAAATGGCAGGGACAGGAAGGGTGGGTTCTGTGCCCTGAAGGGCGAACTGGTCACATGGGCGCACACAAGTTTGTCACCTTGTTTCTGATGCTTCAATGAATTCGCACAAATGTACACTCATTATTTAGTATTTATAGTAGAAGAAGTAAAGGTTCATAGTTTTGCATTTTATTTTATTTTGCCTTGAATAAAGGCACAAACAAGCACACCAAGTGATTTTAGGGCTACGCTTCAAGTATTAAAGGGGGCGTTCTCACAATCATTTACCTTGTGTGGAACTAGTGTTTGAACCGAAGACCAATGTGAAGTAGAAAATGTTATCTATGTGCAAGGTTAAAGCTATGTGTGACATTTACTACTCGCTTCAGCTTGCAGCGGAAGTGGTTGAGTTCCGTCTTGTTGCCAATACAAGCCACTCCAGGCGTCGTTACGGGCAGAACAGGACATAAGCCGATGTTTGGGTTAGCGACAATAACAAACCTGCATTTTCTATTAAACCTTCTCAATGCGAACAAAGTCCCTCCTTTGTTGGAACAGGCCGGATTCGTGAATCTGGTTTACAAACTACACGGGTTGTCGGGACGACGTGTTAAGACATCTTACCAAACAAGGGTCACGTTGTAACGGACACTTATACAAACACAAGTCTTCGGACACTTTCGTATGGAACTTTTACAACTTTGTATAACGACTGCATGCAGCATTTCAAATCTTCTTCAAATATAACAACAGGAGGCTCTTGAGGTTTGAAATACGACCTTGAGTTTTCTTCGTGTCCATCTTGTTCTCAGCGCCCTTTGAAGATTTTAGTAACCGTTAAAAAGACCATCCAGCCAATTTCAACATCCATTGGCGCATATCACAATACTGAAGTTCAACAAAAATCAAACCCGTGAATGGACGATGCCACATTTCAAACCATGGGGTAAAATATTTCACGGCTCATCTAAAAGCCAATATAGTGGGAGGTAAGACCAAGCCGTTCAGCGTTGACGCTTTTCATGTCTTTCCAACAGCCAGTTGACAATCTTTCCTCCTGACAAGCAAACTACCACCCAGCCGAACAGGAATGTGGAGAACAGATAGTGAATATTTGCCATCAGCCATTCATTATCCACAGTAACGACCTCCTGACCAAACAGAGAAGCCCTCCAACCTTTGCGCTAACGACGTCATCACCCCGCTTATTACCCCGCCATAGATAACTCTAACGCCGATAATGTCCGCCTGCAAACACGGGTAACAATCTGTCACTATGGCTACCCGCGCACCGAGCTAACACACCGCCATCTTGGTTAATATACACACCATTTCCATCAATTAAATGAGCGCTAAAACGATAAAACCTTACTATTTAGTAATAGTGGTGGGTCTCTTTTGTTCATCTGTTTCGTATGATTGAAAAGACCTCAATTTATGGGTCGGAAATACACTAAATGTGAGTCAATGTCGCAGTTGACCTTCAGCAATGAACAAGTCATAAAATTTCCCCCCGGCCGCCATCTTGTTCGAACCAATCAGCTGTGTTTCCATGGCGACGTCTGTACACAAACCGCCACGCCAGGGAAGAAGCCGAGTCGTTATGCGGCACAGCAAGGTTAAAATCACCATTAAATTTGAAGACAACGAAACTAGATTTCTTTTCTATAGATTAGTTTAGAGTATCTGCACTTGTCCTATTGTAAAGTATATCTTATTAAAATGTTTATACACAAACATTTCACTGTTTGTCCTCTTTGTTGGGTTTCTCCACCGAGCGTACATGACATGGTTATATCTGTCAATGTCCCGATCTGTTTAAAGCCATGAATAAAATATGAGATCGGTTAGAAATAATTCATAGGTACATTGTTGGGTCATCATTTCCTATTAAATCATATAATAAAGCATATTCCAACGCCGTTGTTATGCCGTGTATTGTCGGCTGTTCTAGAGTGTCGGTAACACTAAACCAAGAGCCCTGTATCGAATTTGTTTGTTCGTCTGTTTTTAAGGCAGTGAGGCCATATATAAAACACGGGATACGCTGAGCTTGTATGGAAGTCATTGTTGTGTTAGTATCTAGGAATATCCAGCGCGGAGTTCTATATATGTCCACCCACTCGATGGCAACATTTGTTTTGTCCCGGTCGCTACCGATACTAGTGGGTCTTTGTTCTACCGTAATAGAAACAGCGTCTGAGGAACGTGACTGTAGAACATATTACAGACTACCGGTCGGTTTAAAGTCGCGAGAACTTTACCCCTTTTACAGATTCTTCCTACCTATTTTAAGCCGGATACGAGGAAAACGTGCCCGAGTTAGAATTCACCACCAGCGCTCGTGACTCAAAATTCAACACACCAAACCCCCGTGAAGAACTCAAGCTTATCATATCAGCGTCCTGTGTTGTTTTACGTGTGTAAGTACGACCGACCTTCTGTGATTTCCAGCTAAGTACAAGCACTTCAGCGCCGCCCCCACCAGCTTCTACAAACGTTAGCACGGCTCGACACGCAGGACTTCTTACTGCAAGCCGACCAAAAGTGGAATTTAGCACGGCACGACTAACGTTACAGCCCGGTACTGTGAATGGGTCACCAGTACACACTCGGTAACGTACACGCCAGTTTCCTGGGTGTGTGTGTTGCGTCAGTCGGAACAAATAAATGAGGGTTACTCATACAAGACCACTACTGAGTCAACTACAGGACGGGGCAAACGGCAGAGAACCTCCGATAAGATAACTACAGAGTGATGTAACTAATGTTAGGTCACGAACTTTTGATCGGACGAAAATCAGAGCACGGCGGCTTCCATGTTTGACAACGCGACAGGCAACGATTGCTTCACTTATATACAAATAATTCTGCCCTATTTCAGCCTTAAATCTTTGCCAGTGATAACCTATAACGTAGGGTAGACCGTTTCCTATCATGTTTCAAATATCATACACCGGTAGAAGTTCTTACAACACCAACACACGCCGGAGACGGGTTCTATTCAGCTCAGATGTCTGAAGCACTCTTCACCGGTAATAAGAACTGCAAACTTCGCCGGGCCCCTCGAACACAAAAGTGGCCGGTAACCAGCAGAGTAAACATGCCTGCGAAGGTGAGTTAAAACGTCTGGACCAAAACTAGAATTAGCCAGATGATATACACCTATAATGAATCACCACTCGAAGTATCCCCGCAAGCAAAGTTGCAACCGGGCGAGCAAGCTAGCAAGGCACTCGAACCAGATTTAGACCACTGATAACCATTTATAAAAAAAAATTACAAGTTAGCCTCAAGTTTTAACCAAAAGAAGGGGAAAAGGGAAAACATACCGGTAGGAATGTAGAGTTGTAAGTTGTATCCTGAAGTTTGAAGCGTTTCTCAGCGGTAAGCCGGGTACGAATGACGCTACAGTCCCGGGGCCGCTATGTCATGGCTGTATTGACATGTTTGTAGCCGCTCCAAGGTTACAATAACAACCTGTCGTGTGTGTGAGGGGGGGGGGGGCGACGTCATGTCTCACTTAGCGCCGGCAAATAAATACTCTATAAAACCACTCAGCTGAGACCATACAAATGTGTTTATGACGATTTTACCACCCAAGAACAGTTTTTTTGTCTTTCCCGCAGTTACGATTCGACAGCAAGCGATCTGTCCAGATTCCTATCGTTTAGCATTCGTTGCTAGCGTTACTATCAGATACAATAAACCTTAGGTTTCTTCTAACGAAGCCTAGGCAAATCTTACAGTCCTAACCCATCATTAAGGCTATTTTACGAGGTTTTAATCTATACTTAATGAGAAATATGATTTACTGTCTGGGACATAATTATAAAATGCCGAAAAGCCGGCTCTCTCCAGGAGCTCTGTGTTCCCAACGTAACCGAACATAATAAACGTCAACTCCACGCCTACCGGCATTTCCAAGGACATCGCAAATACTCTAGCCAGGGGAACTCCCTCATATAGCACCGTGGGACTGCGATTTCATGGGAGAATTTATAATGTTCGGAACGAAACGTCGCACAACGTTTTACATTCCGAGCCTACGGTTCAACTATGGGCAATTTCACGGTCAATTTGCGCCATGGTTAAACGCAGTGGATGTCATACTTCGCTTGAAGGCAAAGGAATGTATTTGAGGGAAATTAACTGCACGTAAGAGTCCAATTTTCAGCAAGGGTTGGTGGAATTGTCGAGTGTATTTTCACAATTGTCTCCAAACACCGAGTCTTGGTGAGAAAGTCGCTGAGGCGTCGCCTTGGGTTGCTTACCTTCTAAACATACACATAATGCTTACTTAGGCCCGGGACTAGGCTAATGCTACCCTTAAAAAATTGGTCTAAAGTCAGCAACAAAAGCCGACTTTAGGAAGCTTTCTTTCCCCCAGCAGAGAAAACGTCTATGAGGGATCCAGAAATTAGTCTGGGAACACCGCTACACATGTAACATGGAAAACATGGCGGCCGCGCTCAGGTTTCCTTAGCGATACAAAAATCACCAACCTCGAACGGAACAAATACAAACACCTGTTAGAGTAGGGGAAGTGGGGAAATACACAGATTGTGACTCTCTGTTACACTGGGGAGAGTTAGACGGTTCTTTTACTCTGATAAACTGAAATAAACTATGGTATCCATATGAGACAGGTCTAACACCAAACAAGTGGACTCGTCTGCTTGTCCTCACATCAAACAAATAAATGTCAGAACCACAGGCCAATGTAGACTCGCTGTTCAACCAAATGAATGAGCCAAATTTAGCGTAGAAAATACGATCTGATTGGAGGTGTTTTTCTGTCAAACCTGTTCAGAACGTGATTGACATATTGATCAGACAGCGTGTCAAATAGACAACAGGCCACAAGTGATTCCCCTGTAAGTAGGGTCGGATTGTCCACTTAAAGTGGTGGGATAAGTCTCTCCTCCATTCTACACAATCCTCTAAATCGTGTCTGGCTTTCATTCGTGTTCTGAGTGCTTAGCCAGCGCCACAAAACAGCGCAAACACACCAGGCCCGTGTGGTGCCGTGTTGGTTTAGACTCCCTGCCGCCAACAGCTACCTGTGTTGCCAGGCGCTTCCGATTCTATTCCCTCCCTAGAGTGCCGAGTAGATTGTACAGGAAAACACAACCAGGGGTTGTTTGGATTTCTACAAGTGCGACTGAGGACTCCTGGTATATCTATGGGGCTGTGGGTAAGATCTGACCGGGGACAGATGACAGCCTGCTGGGGGGTGAATGTTTGCCTCCACCCGAGTGGAACGGCGGACACGACAACACAGGTGCCCGGAGAGCCGAGACAGGTGTGTCGGAACGCGGGAAGTTAAAAACACATCCCCGGTCAGATTTTACCCCAGACCGCCACACAAACACTCCACACACCTTCCCACACACCTTACTCACCTGTGTGATGCTGAGTACTGCAGGTAAAACCGCTGGGAATCTGAGGGTACGGAAAATTGAGTTCCTCTCTGCCGGTGTGTTTACACGTAAATAGCTCTGACTGAACTGGGCGAGCACACCTTACCCACCGGTTGCCACCTGCGTTACCAAGGACGCCCAGGGGAACACCTGACACAGGTATTACCTTACCTGGCGCTGGCGACACGCGCAGGCGCGTAAAGGGGAACGGGGGGGACCACTTTTGTTTGTATATAGGAGGGACAAAACCTTCATACACATCACTACTACACATCTGATCCATGTCTCATGATATAAGTAAGCCTTCACAGTTACTAGCATTTGCAAAACAAAAGGGAAAACAACAACTTTTTCCTTTTCTTACATATGTCAATCTATTACGTTTTTTCATGTTACGATTATTCTTGCCAATCACTTTTTATATGGCAAGACAGTGTCGTTTGGTGGCAAGTATTAATTTTATACGAAACGCCTGGAACATAATTTATTATATTTATTTAAGGCTATAAAGAACCATGATAATTGGCCACACGTTCATACCTCCTTGCTATCAGGAATTAAACATGACTTATCTACCTGTCGCCCTGCAGGTAGTGTCTGACACACCTGTGCTGTGCCCACCTGTGGAAGGACCCCCCGGGGAGAGCCAGGTTTCCGCCACACCACAAAAGGGGCGGGCCACAATGGCGACACAATGGTCACCCTGGTGACGGCCGGTCAGACAAATAACTTGACACACGCGCCGGCTCAACTCGGGCCCGTGTGCTACGGTAACAACCCTTCCGCTATGATTTTGGACAAAATTTTGCAACTTTTTGGCAGCGTGAAACATACCATGGGTGCCAGACAAGTTTCGGGCCGCTAGCCGTTTTCCTTCGGCAGCCAGCCGGAGCCCTTCGCCCGCCTATCTAAATTACCGCTGCGGTGCAGTGCAGGGCCGCGTAATACTAGTACAGAACTAAGTACTCTCGACTGGCTCAACTCCACGCAGCGGTAATTTAGATAGGCGGGCGAAGGGCTTCTGGCTCCCGAAGGAAAACGGCTAGCGGCCCGAAACTTGTCACCCAGGGTACGTGAAAGGCGGATAGTTGTAAGGACAGGAGTGCGTTCCTCCGTTAGTGCCTGTGTAGTGCAGCAGTAGTTCGATAGACGCGCTGTGTGAGGCGGCTGGGCTAACAATACTGGGGTAACCCAGGCGAGAAGGGGTCAAGAACGACCCAAGAAAACACCCAAGTTCTGCTCACCTCCAAGCAGAGGTTGGGCTGAAGAACTGTAGCCTTTTCCACATTTGGACTGCTTGAATTTCAGGAAATCAAAGTAGCCAGTGACTGTTACGTTATTAGCAGAGCTAGAGAAGGAGGGGAGGGGAGTCAACTTATACTGGTGTCCGCTGTCAGAATATTTTTGAGCGGGTTTAAATCATTAACCTGATGTGTGAGGTTAGGTTATAGAAGGAACAGTCATAAATTTCAATGTTGTCAACTCGAAATCGGACCGTCTTGAAATTCACTTTATCCAACGTAACAGTTGTCCCAAAACTACCTATAATTCGCTGATTTAAACTGTCAAACGACTAGTTGAATTGGGCCGAAGGACGGCTACGCTAGCATACTGGTTATATTACATATACACCAGATTCCCAGTACAAATAAGGCTTGTTACACACAAAGAGCAGATCATATTCAACTGTGTACAATTCTTAGTGATGCAGTCATAAACCCCGGCATTATATCACGAATAAACAAGGCCTCAAACAAGTATGAATTTATGACCTATACAGTGTTTACCCAAACAATTCACGCAGAAGTCAATAACACACCGCGTGTACAATGTAGGTGGCTTATGCTT